AACCTAGAAATTAACTGACACCTTTAGAGTCAATATTTGACAGAAGAAGCAAGAACATACAATGAGCTAAAGATAATTTATTCAATAAATGATGTTGGGAAAATTTGACAGATACATGCAGAAAAATGAAACTACACACAACAAATTCAAAATGGATCAAACACTTAAATGTTAGACCTGAAACCATAAAAATCTTAGAAGAAAACAGAGGCAGCAATATTACTTGTAACAATATTTTATCAGACCTATCTCCCCAGGCAAGAGAAACAAAAGAAAAACAAATGCGACTGCATCAAACTAAAAAGTTTTTGCACAGGGTCTGAATAGATACTTATGTAAGGAGGACATACAGGTGGCCAATAGACATATGAGATTTCAATGTCACTAATTAAAGAAATGCAAATTAAAGCCACAGTGAGATACCATCTCACATCTGTCAAAATGGCTATCATCAATAAATCCACAAACAACAACTGATGAGGATATAGAGAAAGGGGAACACTTTCGCACCGTTGGTGGGAGTGCAGACTGGTGCAGCTACTATGGAAAGCAGTATGGAGATAACTCAAAAAATTAAAAATAGATCTACCTTTTGACCCAGCAATTTCACTTCTGTGAGTATATCCAAAGGAACCCCAAACACTAATTCAGAATAACATAAGTACCCCTGTGTTCATTGCAGTGTTATTTACGGTTGCCAAGATATGGAAGCAGCCCAAGTATCCATCAGCACATCAGTGGATAAAACAACTATGGGGCATCTACACAGTGGAATACTACTCAGCTTCAAGAAAAAAGAAAATTTTACCCTTTGTGACAGTATGGATGTACCTGGAGAACATTATACTAAGTGAGATAAGCCAGCCAGAGAAAGACAAATACCATGTGATTTTAGTCATATGTGGAATCCCATGAACAAACTGAACAAGAAAAATGGGGGACAGACTCATAGATAGCAGGATGACAGCTATTGGGGGAGAGGGGAGGTTATGGGTAGAGGGATTGAGCAAAAAGGAAAAAGGATTCATGGACGTGGACAACAGTGTGATGATTGCTGGGGGGAGGGGACTAAAAAGAGACTAAATGGTAATGGAAGAAAATACATTTTGCTTGCTTGTTTGTTATATAACCAGAGACACTGAAATTAAGAACAATCTGACAGTAATGAGAGGGGGGAGGAGGGAGCAATGGTGGGAAGGGTGTTCAGGAACAACTATAAAGGGCACATGGATGAAACCAAGGGGGAGGATGGAAGCAGGAGAGGGAGGTAGGGATGGCTGGGATAGGGGGAGTGGTGGTGGGTAAATGCAAACAACTGTACTTGAACAACACTAACATAATTTAAAAAAATAACGTACAATAGAGATTAACACACACACACACACACACACACACACACACACTAGTGGTTCTGTTTCTTTGCAGCACCCTTAGTGTTCTATAAGCTGACAAACAAGGTTGGGATGTAACAAATGTGCTTATGCCTTTTTCCAGTTAGCACTGTGAGTGTGGATCCAGGATGTGAGGTCATTGGGTCAAGTTCATGTGTGATCTCTGTTCCTTTCTAATCTCTGCCCTGCATAGCTCTCCAAGCTGGAGTAACAACAGTTGCTCAGATGATCAGAGCATTGCCAACCCCCAATTTATTAGTTTGCTTTGCTGCTGTAACAAATTACCACACACTGAGTTTTAAAAATATTCTTTTAGAGTTCTAGATGTCAGAAGTCTCAAATTAAGATGATAGCACAGCTTCTGAAGGCTTCAGTGGAGGATCTGTTTCTTGCTTTTATGGGGCAAGCCAGAAGCTTCTAGAGGCCGCCTGAAGCTCTGGCCATGTAGCTTAGTTGGTTATAGCATCATCCTGATACTCCAAGGTTGTGGGTTGATCCCCAGTCAGGGAACACATACGAATCAACCAATAAATACATAAATAAGTGGGACAACAAATTGATGTTTCCCTCTCTCTTTCTCCTTTCCTCTCTCTCAAAAATCAATAAATTAAAAAAAAAAGGAATAGAGACTGCCTTTATTCTTTCGATTATGGCCCCTTCCTTCCATCACTCCAACCTTTTGCTTCTGTTATCACATTTCCCACTAGCCTTCTGCTCTCCTGCATCTCTCACATGAACTCTAGTGATTGCTTTCTGGACCTGGGGGTACAGGAGGCACCATCATGGGAGTGGACATCACCCACAACAAAGAACGGAAGTTTCAGCCCAAGGAGCCTGAGAGCCAGGACATCTCCTAGGCTGTTGGTCAAGCTATACAGATTTATGGCCAGAGCACCAACTCCACTTTCAACCAAGTTTACTGAAGAGGTTGTTCATGAGTTGCTCTAACAGGCTATCTCTGTTTCTTTTCCTGATGATCTGGAAGGTGAAGCTTCTGGCTGTGAGGGCAAAATCACTGTGGTTATAGGGATTATAAGCAATGATGTACATGTTCAGGGGGTTCCCAAACTGAAAGTGTGTGTACTTTGTGTGAGCAGTCGTGCCTGGAGCCACATCCTCAAGGTTGAAGGCAAGATTCTCGTCTTGGACAAGCAGGCCCTGGATTCCCTCAATGGCTGTGGCAGTGTCTTGCTTCCTGGTCCTTGCAAGGGCTGAGAGTCGTACAGGCTTTTTGGGAAGGCCCTGGAACTCCTCACATGCCACACCCAACCCTTCCTACTATCCACGGACTGTGAGTTCAAGCCTGCCGGAGGCTGAAGGGACAGCCCAACTACAAAAACTAACCCCAGATCCTACCTTGTGATTAAAAAGATTTTGGATGCTGGAAAAAAAGTTATAATGATTACACTGGGGCCACTCAGGTAATTCAGGATAATCTTCCTATAGCAATCTCTTTAAATTAATCACATTAGCAAAGTCTCTTTTGACAGATATCTGTCCCAGGAAAAAGTTTAGCCGTTGTTAATGTAATGAGAATGGTTGGTATGATGTAGGAGACCATTCTCCATGGCGTGGGCCCAGCTCCCAGTGGCAAACAAACATTCACTGCAAAGTAACTTTCTAAAATCCACGCTAAACCTTCCAAGGACGAGTGTAACCAGTTCAACCAATTTTGCCCTTTTCATTTGCAATTATCCCTCTTCTGTGATTGATTAGTGGCGTTGGCTCCTTTGTTTTCTGTAAAAAGGAACCACCTAAAGCAACCTGTGCATAGTATAATGAGGACCATAGTGTGATGTGCTGAGAAATCCCATAAAGGCTGGTCAAAGCAAGGGTTCTGGGTTTTGCTCCCTTGAGAGAAAAGCCATGCTGTCCCTTTTCCTCCATCAGCCTCGGTAGTCTGTGTGAATGTCTCATTTCATCCATGATGATGTGGACACTGTGGGCTGGTGTGTGCATCAGTATGACATCGATGTAACTTGGCAGCCAAGGAGAGTAGACTGGAATGCACATGCATGAACAATGATGACCTCATTGTACTAGTTGGTGGGGGCAGTAGATGCTGCTGAGTGAGCATGTGTACTGTGTGGCCGCCATATTCAAAATAACTGAGTGAGTAGAGCAATGAATCTGCATCATATTTTGTGTTAAGCTTGAACATTCCTCTGCAGAAACTATTCGGATCATTTAGAAGGCCATACCTATGGGCAGCTGGTGATTGGCAGCTTCATCAAGAAAACGTGCCCGCTCATGCATCATGTCTTGTGCAGAGTTTTTTGGTGAAACAAAATCACCCAGGTGACTCATTCCCCTTACAGCCCAGATTTGGCGCCCTGCAACTTCTGGCTTTTCCCAAAACTAAAACCCCCTTTGAAAGGGAAGAGATTTCAGACTATTGATGAGATTCAGGAAAATATGACAGGGCAGCGGATGGTGACTGGGAGAACTGTGTGAGGTCCCAAGGTGCCTACTTTGAAGGGGACTGAGGCGTCATTGTCCTATGTATGACATTTCTTGTATTTGTATCTTCTTCAACAAATGTCTCTATTTTTCATATTACGTGGATGGATACCTTCTGGACAGACCTCATAGAAGGTAACATTCATAGTTTCCGGGGATTAAAACAGGGGTATCTTTGGAGTGGGGGTGGGGCATTTTTCAGCCTAACACACCTGGTCAGACATGTCACTGGCTACACAAGGAAGGTTGGATAAGGGGAGGGATTCCAAGAGTTTAGAGTTGGTACTTGAAACCATTTTGGGTTTTTTGGAAAAGTACTCAACTATTTGGTGAATGTAGAAAGTTGCCACCAAGAAATACTTTCTTGGTTGCTAAAGGGACAAATACGTGTTGGTGCTGTATGTTTCTTTAACAATGAAAATTCTGCTCCTAGTGTCATCACAAAGTACAGCTTCCTTTACCTCAAAAAATAAAAATAAAGTGATGTGTTCTGAGTACACAAAGAAAAGTACAGTATTCTGCTCGTCTGAGCACACAGCTCTATGTACCTGCTGACCTGGCAGCCTTACCAAGTACTTTATTGAGTCTCCTGTAAGTGATTTCTAGCAGGAATTCAAACCTTCTGAGATAGACCTTGAGGAGCTCCCTCAACACATAGGAATTCAAGTGTCATAACTCCATGTCACAATTTGCATTCTAGAATATGTTACCCCAGTACAAGGTGTGGAATTGTTTTGTGCTAAGGACCATTTTTGAGGCAATCAGTCACTGCCAGTGCTTCTCTCTGGAATGCACAGCGTGTTGCCGGGCGTCTCAAAGGTTGGGACACTGCCACGACCTCTGCCTTGCTTATTTTTAACAGAGGAAACTTAGTTCTGACTCCACAGAAGAGAAAGAACATTGACTAAATTAGATTTCAACATCATCCCAATTGCTCAATTCAATGCTCAGCAATTGTTGTAGCATAGTCTACAATAATTTCAAGCAGCCAATAAAGACTCGTGGTCTGAGCCTGACTGATGGTTGAAAGGATTCATCTAATCTTGGGGCCCCTGGGCCTGCTTGCTCTTGTTTGGTGATGACTTGTTCTTAGGCATTCACCTGCCTTTAGGCACAGGGCTTTAAATAAATATCTGAGACTTGGTTTAGAGCTAAAGAATGACTTATAATCCCCAGGGACATTTTACTATACATAATTATGCCTTTCCTTCTTCCTCCCCCACCTCCTCTTCTTCACTCTGAATACCTCATTTATCCACCTGGGATTGTACTTGGTTCATCGGTGCAGTTCCCCTCGATGAAAAATGGCCCAGTCGCTTCAAGCCTTGTCAGAAATCTTTGGCTCCGTTACTTTACCATCCATTTCTGCGTTTTCTGCTTTTCTTTTTAAAGCTTGACTTGGCAGCTGGAGAAGAACATTTTCTTTTCTTTCTGCATCAGGTGAATGGCCATCATTGAAAAGGAGGCCAACCATGTCATGGCTCCTGTCACCGTGTAGGCAAGACCTAAGAAAAGGCTACTGCCTCCACTCCAAGTCAGGGTGGAAAGAACGACAGATTTTTGTCCTTGGAATCTGGTTACCGGAAAGTCTAAGGAAAGATCTGTTAAGGATCAGTCTTCACACTTCTCAGATCTCCATACCACTGCATATCCTAGCTTCATTCGGTTGCACCATACACGATCGCTATTTTTGTAGGTAAAAACAGGGTTGGTGACTCAGTTTCATAGTGTCTAATATTTACCAAACAGTGTCTTTCTTACTGGAATGAAATTAAGTGATAATGAGTCTTCTCTCTACATAGTTGTAATGCACAAAGGAGATTCTGACACAGATAGATCTGAATGATTTACAGTAAAAAAAATGAACAAATACATTTAAACCCAAGAAAATGAAAAGTATATAGATAGGTTTTGTAGTAAACCTAAATTTTTGTTTTATGAATCAGGAGACCCAGGGCAGGCTGAAGTCCTTCATACACAGAGTAAGGTTTGAATTCCTACCTCAGGGAAAATTCTTCAAGAGACACGAAGAACAAAAAGCAGTGAGCTAGAAGGCCAAACATTTTTGGTGGGCACACTAAAGGTGGGGCATTGGTCTGGGCTTTAAAAAGACCAGCATCCCTCACTGCCGGGGAGAAAGAGTTTGAAGTGGATTTGCTATCGTTAGCATTTTAATGACATCATTTTGATTATGCATGTGGTCTGAGGTTTTTAAACATCTGGTGCCTTTTGTAAACCAACTAATAAACAAATAAAGGCTTCTCATAGCAACGGCACAGGGCAGCAACATTTCCCAGCAAAGCTCTCAAAAGGCCTCACATCCCTTGGCAGCATGCTATGTATTAAAGCACCAGGAAACTTGTTAGGAAACCAGGTCTCTCTCCTTCGCATCAAAATTCCTCATTGTCACCAGGTCCTTGGGTGCCACCTCCACTCATCTGCCTCAGCTTTATGAGAGGGTCTTTTCCTCACACAAAGAACATCTTTTCTCTGTTAGAACTGGTAGGCAGTTTCGGCAGCTCAGGCTTAGTTCTCTGTGTGAATCCGCCAGGCCTCGAGGCTGGTTGGGTAACACTCACACGGGGGCTCTACCCAGGCAAAGCAGGGATGGGACGGAGGCTCCAGACTGGGGCTGTGTGTGGAAGGTTTCCATCTGAGAGTCATCGGCATTGAAATATGACTGTGAATGCAGTCACACAGGGGAGACATAGAGTGTCTCCTTTGTTTGGCACGCAGACTCCCTTCCTCTCCCCCTGCCCAAGCTCACAGCCCTGCACTGTAAGGACAGCCTGCTGGCTGTCTCCTCCCCCAACCCTGTTTCTTGACTGCAGCTGTAACTGCTTTATGGCAAGGCCATCACAGACAGAGTCGAGACAGTCAGAAGGTTCAGCTCTAGAGACCATCGTTAATGACTTTTGATTTCAAGTTTTTGGGGGGCAGGGAAGGGGGGTTGCAAAAATCTTATTTAAAAGACAGTATTCAATATCTGTATATATAATGTTGCAAGAGAGCAATTTATGGCTTTCATACTCACAGACTGGAATAGAAGCCCTGCTAAAGGAAAGACCTAAGGCAAAGTGTACTCCTGGTCAGTAAACAAAATGAAGCAGCAAACCGGCAGGCAGATGGTGTCCCATCTGTGGGGGTACATCTGACTGAGGAATGTCCCCACCCCATCAGGAGAAAAGTGCCCTCACTCTGCTCTAGGGTAGAGACTATGGAACAGGGAACTGGAGCACAAGCAGTCATTCACTGTCCCCAAGAATTTCTCATTCAAGCTCCCCAAGAGGTAAAGAAATGGAGGACCTTAGCATTTGGTGCTGGGTCCTGCTGGGGTCCCATGAGTCACTTCTAACAGCAGCCCTGACAGCCCCAGGGCTGAGGTTTCAGAGCCTGGACAAGCCCTGGAAAGATTCTGCCTCCCAGAGAGTTCTGCCTCAGGGGGAATCAGGAACAGACTTTAAGTCTGAAGACCAGAGTTAGTGTAAATTGTGTTTCAATATACAATATTTTGAAAGATAAAGTTTGGTGTCATTCTGAAGTGAAGTCCTTTTTGTTTTAAAATCAAGAGTCACATTTGTATTTTTGAATTAAGTGGAAAATTCAGAAGCTCATATTAGGCACAGGTCTCCCAACTTGGACCGTCTGTAACGCAAAGGCTCTGACTCCCACAGGCTGGCTTCCAACCCCCGGGGTGGGGAGCACAGCTCTGCAGGGGGGGCTCCGAGGGCTTCCATGTGGGTTGGATGAAGTGGAGCTGCCCCTCCAGTTCAGGGCTCCTTTGGTCTATGATGCTTTTGTCTCGAATAAAAGGTTCTACAGTACTCTTAGTTTTAGTTATTTTTAGTCCATATTCCAAATTTACTGCCCATCAAACCACTCTCCCTTTAGTTCATAGTCCCCCATCTCACCACATCCTATACAGCAGGCTCCTGCTCACTGTTTTAGATCTCTAGGCCGTGTTATTTAACCTTTTTGGGGGGACAGATATCTACTTCCCTGCATCTGTTTACTTGATACTGCTACTAATTGTTAGCCCTTAAAAAAGTACACATTTGATTACGAAAAGTGGAGATAAATGGCTATATGGTGAAGGAAACAGTGTCGCCTATGTATGTCTTTACACAGATTCGACTGAAGAAGAGAAAAGCACAGGATAAAAATCCATCAACAAGTAGTACCCAGATGGACACTGATTTTCCTTCACTGCAAAAAAAAAGTAGCTTGAAAGGATACTGTAGGTTATGTTGAAACTATAGTTACCAGCGGGCAAGCCTTCGGTAAAATATTGTATCCGGTTGAGTCGACGGTGCAGCTTTTTGAAGGTGGGGAAGGCAGCCGTCCGCATCCACACGATGAAGTCCTCGTTGATGAAGCCGCTGTTTCCTGAATCCTCTTCGTCCAGTTCATACACAGGCTTAGGCCAGTGGGGGGGCTTTGCAGTTCCTGTGGGAAGAGAACAATGGACGTGGTGGAGAAAAATCACCTGCCCCCTTCAGTTTTTCTTAAAAAGTAGAGAATGAAATAACTTTAGGGTTCTTCAGGAGAAAGAGAAATTAGACTTTTAAAATAAGTGTGTATGCGTATAAACTGCCTGAGTATGCAATCATTAAAAATAATGGTTACAAAGCCTCTAAGGAAATGTGGGAGGGGCGTGCTGATGGTATTTTGATAAGATTAAAAGTACAATACCAAGTTATGTATATTTTATATTATATACCAAAAACAAAGCACTGAAAAAACAGGTAGAGCAAAATACTTGTGGTTGTATTCTGTGATAGCATCATATTCTCTGATAGCAGCATAACTTCACTAGTAATTTGAAGTGAAAAAATTAAAACAAGATAGTGGGTTAATACTTAAAGGACAAAGAAAAACAACCATCCGTGAGGCAGCGGAAATGGAAAATCTCGTACAGGGCGGACAGGCATGCGGACAGGTGTGAGGAATTGGTAGGTGGGAGGGGGTGGAGACAACGGGGTTGCAAGCCTGTTCTGAAGCCGGGAGGCCCGGCGGTGGGAGTGCGGTGCCAGGGGTGACTCTGCTGAGCTTTCCCTCAGTCCCGCACTGCCCTCTTTTGACCATGGAGGCCACGTCTGTCTCTCACTCTACAGTGAACTCCTGAGTACAGCATCTTCATCGTCTTTTTTCATGTTTAGTGCCTGGCACATAGTAGGTATTCAATAAATGCTTGATCGAGGGATGAGAGATTCCAATGAAAGCTTATAGAAGTTGATAATAAAAACCACAATGAATTTCATTTATTTATTTATTTTTAATTATTATTCTTTCAATTAGTTGTCTGCATTTACCCCCTATCACTCCCCCTGATCCCAGCCAAACCCACCTCCCTCCCTTGCTTCCACCCTCCCCCTTGGTTTTGTCCATGTGCCCTTTATAGTAGTTCCTGAAAATGCTTACCCTCCCCTTTCCCCTCTGGCTATCGTTAGATTGTTCTTAATTTCAATGTCTCTGGGTATATTTTGTTTGCTTTTTTTCTTTTGTTGATTATGTTCCAGTTAAAAGGTGAGATCATATGGTATCTGTCCCTTTACCACCTGGCTTATTTCACTCAGCATAATGCTCTCCAGTTCCATCCATGCTGTCACAAAGGGTAGGAGCTTCTTCTTTCTCTCTGCTGCATAGTATTCCATTGTGTAAATGTACCTTCATTTTTTGATTCACTATTTACTGATGGGCACTTAGGTTGCTTCTAGCACTAGGCTATTGTATATTGTGCTGCTATAAAGTTTGGGGTGCATAGATTCTTTTGGATTGGTATTTAAGGGCTCTTAGGGTATAGTCCCAGCAGAATTGCTGGGTCAAAAGGCAGTTCCATTTTTAGTCTTCTGAGGAAATTCCGTACTGTTTTCCACAGTAGCTGTATCAGTCTGCATTTCTACCAACAGTGCACTAGGGTTCCCTTTTCTCTACAACATCTCCAACACTTGTCTGTTGATTTATGATGGACATTCTGACTGGTGTGACGTGGTATCTCATTGTGGTTTTAATTTGCATCTCTCTGATGGCTAGTGATGCTGAGCATCTTTTCATATGCCTCTGGGCCCTCTGTATGTCCTCCTTGGGGAAGTGTCTGTTCAAGTCCTTTGCCAATTTTTTAATTTTTTTTTGTCTTCCTGGAGTGGAGTTGTGTGAGTTCTTTATGTATTTTGGAGATCAAACCCTTGTCCAGGATATTATTGGCAAATATGTTTTCCCATATAGTTGGTTCTCTTTTCATTTTAATGCTGTTTTCATTAGCCATGCAGAAGCTTTTTATTTTTGTGAGATACCATTTGTTTACTCTTTCCTTTATGTCCCTTGCTCTAGGGGACATATCAGTGAAGATGTTGCTGTGTGGAATGTTTGAGATTTTCCTGCTGATGTTTTCCTCTAGGACTTTTATGGTGTCACAACTTATATTTAAGTCTTTTATCCACCTTGAATTAATTTTGGTGTATGGTGTAAGTTGGTGTTTGAGTTTCATTTTGCATGTTCATTTTGCAGTTCAAGTTTGCATGTAGGTGTCCAGCTCTCTCAATATCATTTGTTGAAGAGGCTATTTTTATTCCATTTTATGCTTCTTCCCCCTTTGTCAAATATTAATTGACCACAGAGACTTGGGTAAAAACCACACTGAATTTTAAAGAGCTAGTCAACAAGAAAAAATTGGTTAATGAACTGTTCACTTCCATAAAACTGGTTCTACCATTTGTAGAATCCAGAATGATAAACAGGGACCCTTTCTCACTTTAGCCAGTGCTCATGACCCAGGCAATGCGTCTTATGAGGTACTGACATCTGAATCACCCAAAGAGCCTGTTAAAGAGGCAGGTTCAAGTACACCCTCCCTTACTAACTCGTGAGTCCATGTGAGCCCCTGTCTCCAAGAGAGTATGAGAAGCATGGTCAGAGAGGCAACAACCTCCTTCATTTCCCAAGTTCGGTTGGGTCATTTGTAGTCATCCATTCATTCAACAATAGGCATTTCTTGATTGCTCACTATATATCAAGCACCAGGGATATAAAAGAGTACTAGATCCCACCCCTTACTTCAAGGAATTCACAGAATGTAGTGGGAATGACAGATATTCGAATAGATAATTATAGTAAAAGGTGGTAACTTTTACAATTGAGGCAAGAACAAAGTGCAGTGGGGGATAAGAGAAAGCCAAGGACCTTTCGTGTTACAGCTTGTGGTTATGTGGTAAGACAAAGAATAAAATATTGTCAAGTTCCTTTCAAAAACTGGGAATTTGCTCTTCCCTAAGCAGCCTGAGGTGACCTCTGAAAATGATTTGCTATTTACTTGGCCCAGAAAATCATACAAATCAAGAAGTTCAAATCTTCGTGTTCACTTTAAGAACACTCATGAAACTGCCCAGGCCACCAAGGGCATGCATATCCGAAAAGCCACCAAGTACCCGAAGGACATCACTTCTCAGAAGCCATCTGTGCCATGCCCTTGTTACAATGCTGGAGTTGTCAGGTGCGCCCAGGCCAGAGTGGGGCTGGACACATAGGGTTGGTGTCCCCAAAAGAGTGCTGAATTTTTGCTGGACATGGTTAAAAATGCAGAGAGTAATGCTGAACTTAAGGGTGTAGATGTAGATTCTCTGATCATTGAGCACATCCAGGTGAACAGAGCTCCCAGGATGCAGCACGGAACCTACAGAGCTCGCGGGTGGATGCACTCCGACATGAGCTCTCCCTGCCGCACTGAGATGGTCCTGCTGAAAATGAGCAGGTTGTTCCTAAACTGGAAGAGGAGGCTGCACAGGAGGAAAAGCTAGTCCAGAAAAAACTGAGGAAACCAACACTTATGGCCCAGGAGTAAAGTGTGCATAGGGAGAGGGAAGGGAACTTAAGGGGAAAAAGGGGGGGGATTGGGTAGAAGGACACAGGGCGGGGGGGGGGGGGGGGGGAGAGAAAAGAAAAGTCTTGAAAAGTAACTTTTAAAAAAGTAAAAAGAGCAAAACCCTAAACGCTAGGAATTCCATTATTTTTTGACATACATGCCATTTTGCCTAAGGCAGTCCCAGTTCATACTTACTGTTATTCCATCTGATTTAGCACTTATTCCAAACAAATAATGTACATATAATTTTATCCTTCCAGCTTCTAACCATGGTCTTAGTTATAGTGTGTGAGACACTCACGTGCAGTAATGGAGTGCTTACTTTAATGTGTGATTAATGTTAAGAAGGCAGGTTCAAGTACACCCTCCCTTACTAACTTGTGACTCCATGTGAGCCCCTGTCTCCAAGAGAGTATGGGAAGCATGGTCAGAGAGGCAACAATGTCCTTCATTTCCCAAGTTTGGTTGGGTCATGACTGAGATCCTTTCAGTCAAAATGACATGTCCCTGTGAACCCTGCCAGCTGCTTGCCATTCCAGCCAGTCAGGCCATAGCCTCTGTCTTGGCCTATGAGATACATGATGCCAGCAAGCTGCAGGTCAGGGGGCCAGGGGGAACCTTGGGAAGTTACAGGTTAAGTTATATGCACTTGACGGTGTAGGGAACAGATGCTGAGTGGTCTTGCTGAGAGTAGTTTGAACTGTCTTGCAACATTGGTTTTGTTATTTATCGGATAATGTACATCTATAACTATTTTATTGTTTGGTATCAGTTCTTTTATTTGCTGGTAAATCCCTGTAGATATACAGAGCTAAAAAAGATGGAACCTGTGCGTTTGGTGTAAGATTAAGTACAGTTTCTCAAGAAAGTTAATAAATGTGGTATTTGCAAAGTTGCTTGGCATTTACCTGCTACCACAGGAGCCGTCATGAAGTCAATAACCCACATGAAAATCAAAAGACCTAAATCTGTGGCAGGACATTGGAGTCTACTTCAAAATTTTGTGCTTATTTTTAAGAGTGTGTCCAAAGAGTACTTTACCTTGTGCAGCTACAGAAGGTCCATTTTTATCAGTATGTGGGCATGATTTTTCATTTAGATCAAATGAGTTTCCCTCTTGTTTCACTTTATTAGAAACTTTTTTTTGTAGGCGAAGGAAACCTTGGATGTGTTGGCTCTATTAGCACAAAAGAACTTTGTCAACAGTTAAAAGAGGCCAGTTTCACATCAGTGTCTTCAGATACTTCACAGAAAAATAAGAATAAGTTAATTATAATAATGGCTTTTTTTGGTTTTCTTTATGAAATCAGTGTAAAGGTTTTTGATATTCAAATTTGGAAAATAAAACCTCTGAACTATATAACAAATATTACTGTAAATTCAATTTAAAGAGTCAACAATCAAATGTAAATTTTTTGATTTTGTGATGATAACATAAATGACAATTCAGTAGAGCACAACACCTGAGTAAAGATAATTTTCTTGGCTGGTTGAGAAATTCAAAGAGAAATGTACTTAAAATCATTTGAGGTACATACACAATTTACAATTACACCTAGATAAGCTATGATAGTTTATGAATCAAAGAGCTGTTGTGCAAATTTGAATATTTTCATATTTTTACAGTAGAGAAACTGAATTGTAAATTTTTTCCAGTGACATGGATGCTAAGTGAAAGAAATGTTTCAGCACAGTAGGACATGTGGTCTGTCTTTCTATATATCATCAACCAGAATTTTAGAAATGTTTGGGCCCTTGAAGGACTGATTTGTACATCAAATGACATGTCCTACAATGATCTTGAACTTGTTTTGGTAAATGAGCCATCCAATTTTTGGTTGTCTTCTGTTCAAAATAGTTCAGAAAGATTTTAGAGTATCTAAAATATAGAATGCCAAAAAACTTTAGTGTTTGAAGATTTAGTAAATTGCAAAGAAGAAGATATTGAAATTTACCGCTATAAAAGCAAGACAGTAAGTTTAAATTATATAATTGTACTTTAGAATATCTGAATGTATATTTTGATGGAGCTCCTATTTTTAACTAAGTACAATTTTCTTCTCTACCAGAATTAAATAATATCAAGACAGTCTAAGATTTTGTAGCATCTAAATTTAATAATACATTCAAAAGAATCATAAATAGAAAAAAGTGAGGTCGAAAAGACAGTCCCCATGAAAATATCTGGGATGCAATGCCAGCACACTTCAGCACTGACACTGAAACTGAGGATGAGGGCATCCTCCCTTTAGTGAAGTTGGCTGTGAGTAGAACCGGTACCTCAGCACCTGTGGGTATTTTCTCAATTAAAAAAAAATTGGGGTCAAAAGAAGAATCAATTAAAGGTGTTAACAAATACAAATTGATTAACCACAAAATGCAACTTAAAAAAGATTATAGACAATTTTGTGGAAAAAAAAGATAATAGGAATATTTTAATAAAATATTTTTTAAAGAAAAATTTCATTAGAAAAACACAGGGGCATGTAATGAAGACAGATATGGCTGAGAAACTGATTAAAGTCTGTGATTATGCATCTAGAATTATTATTTTGCTTATCTTTGAAAAAAGTTTTTATTTATATTTAGAGAGGTGGAGGGGAGGCAGAAAGAAAGGGAGAGAAATGTCTATTGGTTGCCTCCCACATGTACCCCAACCCGAGGACCTGGCCAGTAACCCAGGCACATGCCCTGACTGGGAATCAAACCAGCCACCTTTCTGTTTGTGGGACGACGCTCCAATTCACTGAGACACCAGTCAGGGCACTTATGTTATCTTTTAACGTTTAGGTAACAGAGTAGTTTTTTTAAAAGTTGGTTTAACGTACGTAGACATATTTTAATATTTTATATACTATCATTTTAAAAGTAGTTTGTAACAGAATTAGTTCATAGGCCTACCAAAATGGTCATGTCAATTTACTGATCAATAAATACTAATTTCAAATAAAATATATAACTTTAGTTATTCTAGCACCCCCTTTTCATTCTTAAAAGTGCACCAGTTCAGAGCAAAAATTACACGGTCACCCTAATTTCAGATGAAGTGACAAGTTTCTTAAAACACTTTTTATTGAGGTAAACCAAGGAAGCCGGGCGCCAATGCCTCAAGTGTCTCATGGGTGTGTGACGGACAAGCTCACGGGAGGGAGGGTAGAACAGAAAGGAAGGCAACAGAGAAGGAACGGTGGAGGAATGATCGGTATCTCCTCACACATAAAACCCAAAGTTTCTGTAAAGAAATATTAAAATATTGTTTGGATCTTACCTGCAAATGCACTAGGAAGGTTATTGGAACTTGGATTCTGAAATTTGATGAACTTATCTGTCCACCATGTAATTCCACTGGATAACATTGGGACTTTGATACGTATAGATGAGTTGAGGCTGTATGAAAGAATAATGGTGTCTGTAGGGAAATGAAAAGTTGTGTTAGAGATGCAAGCAAGCATTTTTGCCGCCCTCTGACACACTAAACTAGACATGAAAAACAAACCAAAGTTTTAGCAGACTCCACCTGCCTACATGCCACAGATGCTGGAATTACAACACCATTTTTATCTGAAATTTCTTGCTAAGGTCCCAATTATTGAAAAAATACTCTTAAGCTCCATTTAACTCATGCTCCAAACTACTTGGAATCTCTGGTAAGGAAGAATTTACTTGCAAATGAAGTACCATAAGCCAGTGGATAATGGCCACAAAATTTTTAAAGAAAACTGCTGCTCAGCTGCAGACATGATCTTCTGGACTTTCAGGGTTCATACTTATGAAAGGGCACACCACGGAGATAGAAAAAGTCACCCACCATTGAATATGCTGTTGGCAATAGCTCCACAAGGACAGATGGGGGTCCCGTTGTGGGTCTTTCTGAACGAATCACAGTTTCCAACATCCTGAAGGCAAGATGATATATGATTGAGAAGTGCTTCTGTAACCTCCTTTAGAATGATGAAAGTGAGCACCACGGCAGTGTAAATCAACCCACACTGCTTTGTTGACACAGACTAAGGTTATGGATGACTACTGATGTTTCCCAGGCTTCACTTAGACTAGTTTTGTGTTTTGGAGGGGTGTGTGTGTGTGTCTGACACACCAATGTCTCTGGTGTGTGTAGTTTTTTTCTCATTAAGAGTACGTACCATACCAAATACATCTGTAGGGAGGAAATTTACCTTGCTGGCTGTGTTAAATATCACCCTAAATCTACAATGGAATACATTTTAAAACATGTTTTTATTGAAGTATAATTTATATTCCAAAAGATATCAAAATCATGAGTCTATAGCTAGATGACTTATTATAGGGAATCCATCTACCTAAAAACAAAAATATATTTTTAAAAGAATTGTTGCTAAAAATAATTTGTTTGTTATGTTCATATAGTAATGTCAGTATGGAAAAAAGGTTTCCTTCTAGCTTTTCTGGCTAAGATGCTGAATATCATCTATAAAGAATAAAATTTTGCAATCCTAGATTTGCAAGGGTACTCAATCAAACCAAAGGCTTTTTTGTTCAAGTAGAGCCCAATTTCTTAAAGTTGTCTGGATTAAAGGCTCCAAGTATAGGAAAGACAATGCTAGACAGAGTGTGACTCCGATTAAGATGAAACTGCTCAAAGTTACCTTCAAATGGATGGTGAATTTATCCACTAAATGGGGCAAATTTAAAGATAACTACAGATAGTAAGTGTGAAGAAATAATATTGAAATCAATGTGTCCATTGACTATGCCATCTTTATGAACAGAAACATAAAATCCTGAATTGTGGTTGAAAGGTACTTAAAGATTTGCCCTTCTGACACATTCATTATTACTAAGATTTGAACAACCCTATATGTATCCAATTTTAATATGAAATGAGGTCAAATAAAAAATGGTTGGTGCATGACAGCATAACCTTTCGATGAGACAAGATTCCCATTACTGCTCTGAAGGGGGGAAGTACTCATTTTTTCAATAGCAGATGTCCTGATTACCCAGCCCCTTCAATTTATGCAAGAATGAAATGAGCATTTCTGTCTTGAATTTATTTTCCATACTCCCTTTTAGACTGAAAGATCCATTTGGTTTTTAAAAAGGGGTTTTGCATTATGCCAAAGCAAATGAAGCCTTACCTACCTTTACATCTCTACCTATCAGTTGGCTATTACTTCTGGATAGAATGTACCGATAGAGGTTCTGATGGAAGCCATATAGTTTGTAGTACATATAAACATTACCCTGTAAAGGAGAAAAGGGAAAAGTAACAGTAAGAAAAATAAATTGGAATATTAATAAACATGGCCAAAATTTTCAAAATATGAAATGTAGTGAAGAAAAAAATGATGGGGACTGAAAGTTTCTTTATATCAAATAGAAACGCAAGAAATCACTGTTTTTGTTCAAGTTGTCTCCATTTCCTCCCCACCACTGCCCTCTCCGCCCCACCCATCCCTGCATTCCACCCTTGATCCTACCCTCTTTGGCTTTGTCTGTGTGTCCTTTATACACATTCTTGACAACCCCTCCCCCCCACCTCTCGTTATTGCCCCCCTCTGGTTACTGTCAGCTTGTTCTTTATTTCAATGTCTCTGGTTATATTTTGCTTGCTTGTTCATTTTGTTGATTAGGTTCCACTTATAGGTAAGATCATATGGTATTTGTCTTTCACCACCTGTCTTATTTCGCTTAGCATAATGCTTTCCAGTTCCATCCATGCTGTCAAAAAGGATAGGAGCTCCTTCTTTCTCTCTGCTGGGTAGAATTCCATTGTGTAAATGTACCATGGTTTTTTGATCCACTCATTTACTGATGGGCACCTAGGTTGCTTCTAGCACTGGGCTATTGTAAATTGTGCTAAGAAATTATTTTTAAAAATCAGTGTTGGATGTAATATTGAATTGAATGCCAATTGGAATTTAAAAAATAAAATATAAAAATAAAAATCATCGTTGAAATATCCTGGTGTATAAAGAATTATTAAAATGACTAGGTAACTTATTTTTAGTTTTTATAAGGGTTACTGCACTCCTGCCTTGAAAAAATTTTTATAACCAGTCTTTGTATTCTCAATATATAAAATTTAACCTTACAAATATTGTTATTTCCCAGTAATACTAGAAAAATGTTTTGTCCAGGGTTGTAGTAGGTGTCAAAGTCACATGATTTCAAAGAAAACCCACAAAGCGCAAATTAAAATTGGGCCCACCTTGATGTGTGTTCTGGCTCTTTGTGGTCTAGTTCCCATTGTTTTTGTTTTTTTTTATCCCTAGGATCTAGCACAGTACCTGGCACATAGTACTCGCTCAAGAAATTGTGAGCCATTTGTTATGGGAAAAAATAGATGGAATAATTCACCTGCTCCCCAAGAGGTGATTTTCACCTTAGCTACAAGCAGACTTGTTGCTGTGAGGGTTGTGTCTTCTCATGCACACTGCTGCGTGAGGCTGCCCAGGCATAGGCTACTATCACACTTCTACCTGTGTGGTAATGTGATGTACCGAGGCTCTGGAAATTCTCCAGGCAGACTTGATGCACATTTTACTGACAGCATATATAATGCAAAAGAAATGGCCAGTGTAGCTGTTCATAATTAATATACAAGTTACCTCCAAAATGGTGAGGCCTGCACCCAAAAATATATGACGGCTTAACATTTATTTAAAGTGCCTCGCAAATGTTAGGTACTATACTCAGTGCGAGAAACACAAAAGGATTCTTTGCAATTCCCCAAGTCAATCGATTTTCTTACACTCTGCAAAACAGCACTTGGAAAGGCTTTTGGCCCCACCCTTAGGATCTTTAGGAGGCTGAGTATGGGAAATGGGAACTGGTACCCAGGGCTGGCTGGAAATAAAGGCAACGGTAAGTGTGGCCAGTTAGAGAAACAATAAACGCTGGCGAGCTCAGTCACTTGTGAGAGAAAAATCTCTGGACGCTGAGAAACGGAGATGCCGGGCCATGACAAAGAGGCAGGGGCCACACACTGAACAGAGAGCAGAGACGAGAAGGTGAACAAGCCAGGCGTAGCAGGAATGGCTGATTACATTTCCTCACCCAAGGAGGAAACCTCTGTTGTTGACCCTTAACTAAAAAAACATGAAACCCACAGAAAGGAATTTACCATACATTTTCTTGGAAGCTAAAAAGAGAATTTTACTTACCCAGAGTTATATATTCATATAAATGATGAAATAAATAGGCAGAGAACACTAACCACACCAGGAACAGGAGTGTTTTTATAACCTTTTTTCAATAATTCTTTGCCCAGGATTTAGTTTAACAAGGCCTCACAGATCATCATCGTTTCCATTAGTCCTGGAGGCACGCACTTTGTGAAGGAGTTCCCTCTGTTTACAACAGCAGCAGCACGTGGTGCAGGCTCCCGAGTTTAGGGCTGTGAGTCTCACGTGGACTCATCACCAAGCATGGGTCTCCTGTGCTGACTGCAGAGTGGAAGGCCCTGTCATTGCCCTAAGTGGTGGGTTGCATTTTTACGGGAAAGCCCTTGCCTGAAAGGAATGGTTAGCAGCTGGTAATGCTTCATTTGCCTTTAGGGTTTCAAAGAACACAGACAGATGAGAACCGAGGCCCTTTGGGTCTTTTTCTTCAAAAATGTAAGTACTCTGAGCCCCCAAGAAGGAACAACCCTGCTTGACGTATTGACTTCAGTTTTCTAACTTCTTGTACTGTGAGAGAATACATTTCTGTTGTTTTAAGTCTCCCCTCCCTCAAATTAAGTGACACTCACGTTTACTTTGGGGGGGGGGAGGGAGCTGAGGAAGACAAGAGAGGGTTTAGCTGTAGAGAACTAGAATTTTGACCTAATAAAAGAACACATTTGTAAAACTTCCCCCACTGACTTTATATAGATTTCAGTTACAACTGAAGTACAACTTGGTAATTTCCTTATAATTTATATCCGACTTAGCTACCCATAATCAATACAGATGTATTTAGAATATTACTGACACCAACAGACTTTCTTCTGGGATTAAGAGGGGCATAAGAAAGAGACACATAAAACCAAAGCTTCCTAGAACATAAAGCCATGTAGCACTTTATCTGTCCTCCATTCATTTAACATTGTAGCAAACATTTTCGGCATATCTGCCATGTGAAATGAACTGTGCTGTGCATGGTGGGGGAGGTGAAGATTCATATTCTCAGTCAGTAAACATAATTGAGCACTCACTGTGTGCCAAATACTGTTACAGGTACTTACGATACAACAGTGAGAGACAACAAATAATACATGTTATAATAAACTGTTCATTTCTATAGCATACTAGAAGGTGATAAGTACTATGGATAAAATAGACACCACGACAAGGTAACAAGGATCAGGAGTGCAGGGGTGTGGTGAGTATATGGGCTGTAGCACTAGACAGGTTGGCCAGCGCAGCCTTGCTCAGGTGAGAGCTGAGCCAAGACCTGAAGGAGGTCGGAAGTTAGCCGATGGACATCAGGCTCAGGGCGCAAGGCAGGAGCATGTGCGACTTGTCTGAGAAACGAGGTGGGTGGCAGAGAACGGAGCGATTGGGTTAGAAGGAAATACGAGACTGGATCAAGGCCCCGTAAAGCCTTAGGCTTTTTCACTGAGCAGAAAGAGGAACCACTGCAGGAATTTTTAAGCAGAGGAGTAACATAATAGAGCTTATGCTTTAGAAAGCTTACGCTAGCTGCACTGTTGAGACACAGACTCAAGTAGGAAGACCTGTTAGGAGACTATTGCAGAAATTCAGGTGGGAGTTGACTGCAGTGCGGAGTAGCAGTAGCAGAGGTGTGGAGAAGTGGGCAGACTGGATATACAGGGTCCATCCAGCACAAATAACGGCCCTTTTTGATTACAAAATCATGTAATTCTGTAACAACAATATCCCATTCAAGCATATCACATGACATTTTAGGCGACATGTTCAAATTGAAACTATAAATTATTACACCTATATTATTACCCTATCAACCACACTCAAGCAGGCATTACTTCTGGACCTGGTATTTTGAAGGAAGAGTAAACAGGAGTGAAAGGGAGAGTGGATGTGAGGTGACAGAGAGCAGAAGAAGTTAAGAACGGCTCCTGAGCCTTTGGCCTGCGTACCAGAAGGACGGAGCTGCTATCAGCTGAGAAGTCTATGGGTGGGAAAGGGTTGTTCTGGAGGGAAGAAGTGGGTGTCAGGAGTTCAGTTTTGGAAATGTTGAGCTTCACATATCTATTAGTCATCCAAATTTAGACATCAGGACGGCAATTGAAAATACAAGTGTGGATATTCGGAGAGAAGTTTCGGCTAGAGATATAAAAGAGTGTTGGCAACAGATGGCATTTAAAGCCAGGAGGTCGATGATGTTTCCAAGGAAGCGAGTGAACGTAGGGAGGAGAAGGCGGAAGACTAAGACTAAAACCCTGCAGCTCTCAACACGGAGTTTGAGGAAAGAAGGAGGAACAGCAAGAAACCACAGAAGGGCAGCCAGAGAGCTAGGAGGCGCTCCAGGAGAGTGTGGTACCCTGAAAGCCAAGAGAAGAAAGTATGTCAAGGATGAGGAGTTATCCATCACCTCGTCCGGAGGGCTGACCATACACCAAGGACTCCCTGTTGGATTTATCCTTATGGAAGTCAGCAGTAACCTTGCACTTTCACAGAGCCTCACTGGAACTTTCTTAAGAATACACTACTGTCTAAGACCTAGCTTCCATCCTTCTTTCCAGCCCCTCTCCTGCTTAGGGGTCAGAGCTGGGTAGTGGTCTGACAGCTCTCTCAGCCTCCGCCAGCCCCCTCCCCATTTTCCCTTATAGGCAGTTCCCACGGTAAATCTCTTGCATGTCTAATCCTGTCTTGGCATCTGCTTCTCAGAGGACCTGGACTAACACATGATTTTAATCATCCCAAGAGTAAAGATTCTCTTACTATTTCTTTGGCATTTCTCACAGTGCCTGAGAGCCAGGCCAAGACTTGCCTTAGGGATTAGGCAATTGCATATGTAGAATGACTTGGGGAGACCCAAGGAGAGTCCCACCAGGTGTGACCTCTGATGCTAACTCACTGTGTGACCTTGGTCAAGTCACTTAACTCCCAGTCCATTAATTTTCTCACTATAAAATGAGTGGTTAAATTGCAGAATGTCTATAATCTCCTCTTGTGCTTACAGTGGAGTAAAACCTGTTTGACTGGTGTTAAGAATTGTGTTACAAAGTTGGGTAAGTAAAGAATCCGGAAACTTAAAAACAAAAGAGAACAAAATTCCAAAGGAGAAAAAAGGGAGGAAGAGTCACACATGAACTCAAAACTTTATAAGACCGCCCTACCTCTACCCTGTCTGATTTTCTGTATTTTCAGTTTGGAGAAGCATTTGACGGAAATCATGAACTTACTGCCAGGTTTGAAATAGGAAGAGATGAGCATATAGTCAGTTAAGTCTCTTGAATTTTACTTACTTGCATTGTGTCTGGCAGGTAAAAAGGAATGGAGCAGGTGCATTCTTTGTCAAAATTAATGGCATTTTCCCGCAGTTCTGCACAATTTGCACATATATTTGTGTAATTAATCTGTCAGGAAAAAGAAAAATTAGGAAGGTTAGACTTTGGGCCCTGGTCGGGTAGCTCAGTTGCTTAGAGTGTCATCCTAATGCACCAAGGTTGTGGGTTTTACTGTATCTTTGTTCTATATAAAAATCAACCAATGAATGCTTAAATAACTGGCATAACTAATTGGTCTCACTCTCTCCCTCTTTCCCCTTCATCTTTCTCTCTCTAAAATCTATAAATAAAATAAAAAAGAATTTAATGAAGAAATTCCTTTATTAAAAAAGAATTAACTTTGAGTGGTGGGCACACAATGCAATCAATATACAGATGACATATCATAGAACCCGTACACTGGGAACCTACATAATCTTACTAACCATTGTCACACCAATAAATTTACTGAAAAATAAAAAGAAATTACATGAGTATATATCTTAAAATTCAAGCCCTGAGTCCACCAGAGCCTTCAAGCTGTCTGGGTCAAGGGCATGCTGTGTGGCCACGAGTACAGAGCAGCCCGCTGCTGAGGACGAGCGTCTCCGCAGACGCTCTGGGGGCGTGGGCCCGCGAGCAGTCCATTCTGGGACCTGCAGCATTTTGCCACTGACCTGGGACTCAGTGCTTTTATTGCATATTTATGTAACCTGTTGTGATGAAGCTTTGTGCCTGGATCATAAAGAGGTTTCATTAGGAAAGTATTAGTCAATGTCTCATAAGAGCTGGGCCTACGGCCTGAGTCTAATCAGCTTTATGGGGAAGTCACTTCACTGTTTTTCCATTTTGTTGTATGGAAAATATTTACACTAATGAATTCTTCTACATGGCACATAGAGGAAGATATTAAAAATGACCAAACATAGAAAAAGAACTGTTTCCAAAATGTAGGGTTATTGACATGTGTGGAATCATTCTGATTTTGAAATGTTAACACCTGTTTTTTTTTTTAAAGTTGAATTCTGTGAAAATGGTAGAGTGGACACTATTAAAAAGAATATTATGTCCCAAACAAGCAAATCCTGGGCAATTTGGTTGAAGGACTCAGTTATGTGAAGGTGCAGCTGGAGGAAGTGGGAGGAAGGGAGGCTTGGGGAGAGGCCACAGAGGCTGTGCACCTCCCTGCCACAGGAAATGCTCGTCTCAGGCACCCAGGGCATTGTGGGGGCTGCTGTGAGCTCCTGCTTTTCTCTCTGTGTTGGAAAGTACTTAGAAGATGACACTGAAGACCTTCAGAATGGTACCTTCAGAAAGGAGAGGGATCCCAGTGCATCCAGACCAGGTGGTTTTGAATACTCAACATATTGATGGAACCAGTCACTCCACCAATAAGGTTGTTATCCAAGGATCTAGGAATAACGTACATTGGGTCCAAGGTTGCCCAACACCTTGGCATTTCCACATGCTGACTCAAGGTTTGCAACAGTCAGTAAGAAAATTTTCACAGACTTGGAACGTTTACTGTAGAGGCCATAACCCTGCCAGCCTCCCTGGAAAGCACTATTCACCAAGGACAGTGGACTGTACAGCCAAATGCCAGGCGAGCAGTCCAGCGTGAAACGCGGTGTCCGGGCTGTGACAACAGACTATCCTACCCAACCTACGGTGGGCAGACCGAGTGACACAAACCCCTGCTGTGACCCTATCTGGCGACAGCAGGACTGAAGCCAGCTGGGATGACCTTTTGCAAGATCAGGTCAAATGAGGATTATAATCTATTTTATTTCTCCCTTATATTTTCAAACTTAAAGAAAAAACATTGATTCTTAACTCTGCTGATGAATTTGCAGTATTTGCAACTGTTGTGCCAGTCTTGAACTTTCTAAAAGGAAGATGCTATTTTAGAAGTGATGAAGTAAAAAGAACACGTGAAAAAACAAAAAACCAAAAAAACCAGAGAAGATTATGGGAATGGGGGAGGGGCAGGGAAGCAAGGGAGTGGCTTTCTCCTTGGTAAATGGCCAGTGGGATTTAGGGTTCATTGGGAGGGAAGACTAACAAGACAGAAGGAATTTTAACTCCTTGCAAAACCAGTGGAAGTTTTGAAGCCAAATAGGTAAAGTGTTAGTACTAAATTAAAGATTAGGCAAAAGGCCACTTAATTGTATTCAGATACTTATACTTACTTAAATCATTCTTTAAACAGGCAGCAATGTAATGTGGAGTGGGGGTCCCCGGAAATAGCAGGGCATATTCCCCACAAACCTGGATTGGGAGAAGGGGGAGTATACATACAGTGTTTGAGGTACTTTGCATAACCATGGCAAGTTAATAGCTGTGCTGCCTAGGAGTATATGCAAAAGGAGTAGTGACTTTAAGAGTGTATAGTGACTTGTGAGACAGCCAGGGGAGGCAGATGCCCCTGTGTCATGGGGAACTCTTGCCCTGACTAAAGATGGCAGCCAAAAGAAGGTAAAAGATATGGTGTAACTGGCAAAGTAGCACATCATAGGAGGGTCGGATATGAGGTCACATAATAAGTCCAAGGCCAAGCATCTAAAATAAGGTTGGGTTGAAAGAGAAGGAAATCCCACCATGCAGCCTGGTGTAGGAAGGAAGAAGGAGCCACGTGGTCTGTAGTGAAGTAGTGGAGGCCACGTGGGAGGAAAGGGTGTAAAGAGAGAGCTGATGGAGCTGTGCAGGGACCAGGCAGAGCTGAGGGAGCTGTGTGGGACCTGCTTAACCAAGCACAAATCTGTGGGAGATGCTTGGAGCTGAACTGAACTGTGACCAGGAATGCTGAGCTCAGACTTCTGCTTCTCTGAAGGACGTACAGAGAAGCCACTCTCTTGGGACATGTGCCTCCCTGGGCTTACCATGATTCATGCAACGCAGCACACGTTTCCCTGAGCCATTACTTGGAGACTGAGGACAGTGTCCTCTAGACCCTGAAGGAGAGAGCTGCTGGGAGAGGATGGTGACCCTGCAACCCACGAATGTATAAGCCAGAGGGAATGGAGACCTGGCTGCTGCTTTAACAACAGGTAAGGATATGGGGGACTTTTGGGCATGGTTTTGGCTTACAGCCTGGTGGGGAGCAGGGGAAGCGCTGGGTCCTGTGGGAGAGCAGGGCTTTGCACAGGAGTGCTCTCAGCAACCACCCCCACCACCCCGAGGTTGGAATCCTGTTTCCTTCAACACTAATTGTTGGGTCACACATCAAGGCGCCACATGGATGAGCCCCAGTTTGTAAGGCTTGAATGATTATTTTGTAAAATATTGATGGTGAAGCTGCACTCTAATTTTTATAAAACATTACAGAACCACGCTGTTATTGCAATCAAGAGACAGCATGACTGAGGAAACCAGGATTCCAGTTCAGCCAGTCCCTGACCTGAGTTAAATACTTAAACTCCAGGGCCCACATTCTGTTCATCAGCATCATTTCATGCAGCAATTAATTGGTCTGTGAGGCCTGTGGAAGAAAAGAGGCCACATGCAAGACCTGACAAGCTTGGGGGTGGGGGGCGCCTGTGTGACAGCCTAACAAACTTGGAGACCTAACCACATGGAACGGTCTGAAATTAAAATTTACTTTCTAACTAAAGCAGTTCATGGCAGGTAGCCATATCCCAGGTGAGTATTTCTCCCTAACAAAGGCCAGTTTGTACATTAATTGAGCCTGTCAGTTGTCTTTTAGCATCTATGGTAACATACATTTGGAATGTCAAATTTCTTCTTTCTGGATCCCTCAAAGCACGGGCAGTGCACCAGGGAGAGACCACAGGTCCCCTCATTGTTATTATTACCATGTTAATTATCGACGGTTAACTATCCTGTGCCCATCTGCGTAAAAGATGGTCTACTATTTAATTTCATCTTTTATCCAATCCCAGAGGTTCCCCCACCTTTGCTTTCTCCTGCCTCCCTAATCTATCACCAATGGATTTCCTGCGACCCCCTTGCATCTTCTTTTGGTTGTAATATACAAAATTGGCGCTAAACTGCCATTCTCCAGGGCAGTTCTCAGTCCATTGAGAGTTTGCTTCCCTGCAATTGTCATCAGTTGCTCGACCAAAAATTCTGTAGGTTTGAATGTTTTCTATGTGGACAGAGCATTGTAGTACACATTCTACTACATGGATTCTGTCAGTGCAGGATTAGAAAAAAGAATGTGTTTCATGGTCAAATGGTTCTTGGGTAGATGATACCTAGGGTGCTTTCTAGCTCCAAAAATTTTATGAGGACAACATAACTCTTACCTATTATTGTCTTACTTTGGTGCTCAAGTGGCTTGGTAAGCCTATAGCTCTAAAATGACAGCACAGATTCTAGTCGGTTCCTCATGGAATTTTGGAGGGGCAGAAATTATCACTCTTGCCCCTCCAAAATCCTCCAAAAAGGGTACTTCCTTGTTGTGCCCCAGGGCTAAGTGGGAAGAGCAAAGCCCACTCAGAACTTCTTTCGACTAGGTCTGTGGTTGACCACACTGGCCTGGGGTATGCGCTTCGCCTTATCACCTGATATGATGAAACACTTTCATGTGCAGAAAGGCATCCCACTCTCTGGGTTGTTTCTGGTTTTCTTGTATAAAAGCAAAGTGTTGGAAACAGTTCTGTCCAAAGTGACTAAAAACCCCCCAACAAAACGACTGGACTTCCCCTCCCCCTAACATCATGATAAAAACGTTCTGTTGAAAGTTGTTTGCAGAGTGGCCTTAGGGAACCAAGGGGTGAGGTCCTTCTCACATGCAGGAGGCAACATCATTCGGCAGCGGCTGCCTCTTCATGGAGGCTGCGCTTCACAGTGGGTGGGGTGGCGACCAGAAGGAAGGAAGCAGGGAGGACATAGGAAGTGGGGGAAGAACCAGAGAGGGGTTGGTGAAGAAGAGAACAGAAGAGTTAACAGGTGGAGCTGTTTGTAGAAATGAGTATTAACCTTGTAAGCCCTTTATTATTCCCTTCCACAAGGCAAGTTTAATTTCTTTCTGCCATTTGCCTCTGCTGCCTGGTGGGGCCTGCTGGTTTCCAAATCACACTGGAGGACTCCAGAGATTTAGGGGCGCCTGATTCCTGGAGAGATATGATAGGGCAGCTGAGAGGGACAGCAGAAAATATTAAGTAGAAAGGCAATAGGAGAAGAACCTGAACTGACATTCTCCTTTGTGAAGTCCTCACTATTTGTAATAATTCATTCTTTCAGTACATTTGTGCCTGTCATGCACTGGGCAATGTACCCGGAAGGGGCTGTGGATACTGTGAACAAGCCAGCCACGGCTGAGGTCTCTGTTGCTACCACACAGTCCTACCTACTATATCATTATTAGCTTACTGAGGGCAGAAATCAACTTTTACTTATCTGACTCATCTGTATACCCAACAGAACTCTTAGCACCATCACATAATCATGAATATGAAATCAATGTTGACATACTTGGCCTTCATAATTTCATCACTAGCCACATGGGAAGACGCAACAGGTCAGCTTCCCATGACTGCCATTGGAGGGAGGGTCACACAGTTTGAGATGTCTGGTAATATGCTCAGAGCTGATTTAAATAAGACATTTGCTGAATTCATTTGACTGACTAAGGGCATGGCTGATTTAGCTTTAGGCCAGCTCTCATCCCCCCTCCCCAGACCAGCTTCCGGGGCGGGGGTCTCATCTTCCAGCAGCTCATTAGTCATATTGGCAAAAGGCTTGTGACTGAGGTGAATGCCCTTCGCTTCAGCTTTACTCACTGAGTAGAACTTGTTTTATTTTGCTAAGTGTCCTTAAGAGGCCAGGAAGATTTGGGTTCTTGCCTTTCCTAGATGGTGATGATCTCAGAGAGAATTCATCTGCAAACACATAGTCACTATACTTGAAAGTGGGGCAAAATTGAAGTCCTCTTTCTTTGGCTCTTCATACTCACTAGCATGATTCGTGGGTACCTGGCAGGCATTTGGCCTTGCCTCTCCTCCTCCCCCCTCTACCAACTGCTCGTTCAGCCCTCTGCCAGCATAAAAACCTTCTGACTTCCTGGACCCCTGTAAACCAGCATGGCTGAGCCGACCAGTGTGACAGTGACAGGGACTGTTATCAAGAGGGAATGGGGATGAATGAAGCTGTCACCATCTGCACCTGCCAGCTGAAACAGGATGGTCTAGTCTCATTTAGTTCCCTGTTGAGAGGCTGTGTTCTTAAATGCACGACTCACTTATAGTCCCAAAACAGAAGATTCTTACAAATTACATTAGACATGTAAGAGGAGGCAGACCTCTATCTCCTTGATGCTCTTTGCAGACAATATAAGGACGATGCCTATGCCAAGGCAGAATGCTCCTGTGGCGAAAAAGCCAGAGAGGACTTTGGTGGCTGAGAGCTGCAGCCGGTAGGCAGGTAATCGCTGCTGCTTCAAGGCAGTGTTGTCTGGCAATCTGGACTGGGAGCTCTCGGATGTCCTGTCCATTTTGCTCCTGCAGGCGACCGAGATGTACTTTTAAGACATTTACATTACTACTCACAGTGATCCCATATAATGGTACTATTAACTTAAGAATATTGTGAACCTCCCTTTCTAGTTGCAGTCTTTTGGCTTCCTGAATTATTTCTTAACCAATCTGACATTTAGCAGGAGCGCGGCTCTCTTCAATCAGCCACTACATGGTATATTTTACCTAGGCTCAAAAAGCTTGAGCTAAATGCCATCCTGAGGAGGCAACTCCGCAGCAGGGTCTGGGTACACCAGCATCTGTTGACACTGGGAAGCAGTTCCAATGGGCTACTGCTAGGATGTGGTGACTAATTCAAGGCAAGACCTGCCTGAGATGGGGAAAGTGAACTCATCTTCAAAACTTGCCTAAGTCCTTGGAAATTTATACCAAAAGTAAAAGTTAGGATTGTCAGCTTTTTTCCAAGTGTGGCTATCCCATAACATGAATATAAATTAAGTTTGGAAAATGCTCTCAGATTACAGCTAACGTTTCTATTCATGATAATCAGAGAGACACAAACAGGGATTATAGAATGCAGATGTCTAATCTCAACAGTTTCCATTTTTTCATCCACAAGAAATACTATAGTAAAAAATATAGATTAAAATATCTGTCCTTTTTCCCAAGTGCATGCTTTGGAGTAGCCCAAATGAGGCAAAAGAAAACGATAACAATTAAATGTTCAACATTGTAAAATGTATTATTGTTTCTTTTTTCTCACATATTAGAAATCCACTAACATTATTTTCATTTGGCTGGTAATTACTTCCTTTTCTTAAGATGCACTTAAGATATGGAATTAGATTCCTAAAAGATTAGGTGAGTTTCTAGTCCTCCTTTTTTATTTTCATTAGACAGAGAAGTCACACTGGACTATTTTTGTATTAAGGAAGACAATAATTTTGGCGAATGTACCTAGTTTAAAAGAATACAAAATAAATGCAAATACTTCTATTAGGAGATTTCCAATTCAGAGTCAAAACTTCCCACTGGCAAAATTGAGGGAAAAGCACATGGCCAACAAAAGCTTTCCAGTGTGTCATTTGAATCTGGCTGGGAGGCAGTGAGGAGGGTAGTGTGGCTGTTGGTATCAGGCAGCCTGTGTAAAGGGGCAGCAGTGAACGCTTCTCCTTTACGTCTACTACTTGTTTTACTAAATAAACATGGTCAAAAGCTTGGGTTTAAAAGCTAGTAACAGCCCATTAAATGAGGTTATATGTGCAAGGTTAGCCCAGAAAATATCAGGTATGTTTGCAATCTAGGTACTTGATCCAACATTGGTTGAGAGAGAGAGAGAGAAATTGGCTCACGTGATTATGGAAGAGGCTGGCAAGTCCAAAATCTGCAGAACTGATGTCCCAGCTTGAAGGCCATCAGCCGGGAAGAGCTGATGTTTCGGTTGGAAGGCAGAATTCTTTCCTACTTGGTGGGGGGATGGGAGAGGGAGGACTCGACCTGTGTTCTACTTAGGCCTTCAATGGACAGAACGAGGCCCGCCCCCATTATGGAGGGCTGTCTGCTTCACTAAAGTCCACCAATTTAAAGTTTAACCTCATCCCAAAGCATATGCATAGAAACAGCCAGAATATTTGATCAGTTATCTGGGCACTCTATGGCCCAGTCAAGTCGGCACAGGTAGTCAGAAAAACGTTTCTAGGGCAACATTCTTGAGAGATAGCCAGATACCCATTTTATAAGTATTTTTGTATTTATATATTTCTTCTAAATAAACCAATTTCAACCATACAATGCTTCATATACTCTGCTTTTCAAATTTCTAGAACAGAGCTGCTCACGTTCAGCAACACTGATATTTTGGGCAGGATACCTTTGTTGTGAGGGGTTGTCTGGCAGGGTTGTAGGATGTTGAGTAGTGTCATGACCCCCTCACTAGATGCCAGTAGCCCCCTGGTTGTGACAATGAAATGTGTCTCCAGATGTGGCAATGGCCCCTGGGGGAAAAAATCGCCTCCAGTGGATAACCACTGGTCCAAATTGATACGGATACCACGATCTGTTAGCAGCTGTTGCATTGTGTCAGTAGAAACTTCAGAGTGATTTTTTAAGTCCTTGCTTTCAATTCTCTTCTCTTGCTGTGTATACAGATGGCCGTTTTAGGCATCGCCAGTCATTTTGTATGCATGGAGTTGCCCCATATTTCACTGCCTTTTTCCTAATAACTGCTGGGATGCAAATGCACTAAACAGGAGTGTAGAATCAGGAAGTCGTTCTTTTTGTGTGGTACACTCACACCCACACATATTTATATGCAAACCTAATAATAATCACGATGGTCTCATTTTTTGGTTTTGGTGTATCGTAGTGGCTGAGTGGATTGGTCTGAATTCTGAAATGCACATAGTACATGTCTCTAATTTGCAAATCTTTCCTCTCATGCAATTATGCTTGATGTTCTCTTCCAGATTAATCTAAGACATGTTAGTTGACAGGAAGTTAAATGGCTAGAGTGGGAAAGCATGTGATCCACCTTTTTTTTGTTACCATTGGCCAAGAACATCTCACACGTTAGGATTAAAGGGATGAAAATAATAGGGCTAAGTTTAGCCATAGCTAAATAAATCTTTATATTGTGGTGGCTTTTTTTCCCTCTAACTTGTTGGGACTGAGGCAGGGTCCTAGAGAATAGAACTTGCTTTTGCTGGAGTTTGATTTGCTAGACGGCCAGGCTCACTTAATATTCACAGTATTCAATTATGGAATTTTATATGCCATTAGTGGCATCTATTTGCCTTAAAAAATCTCTTATTTGATTTACATGCCTAAATCCCTAGATAGGCAATCATGGTGTCCAGAGTGAATATGGGAGATCTGGGGACTTCTGATTCTGCTTCTTAAAACTACTGTATATTTTTTGAGAGTCCCTTTCAACATTAAAAAATGTGAATAATACCTTTTCTTCAAGACTGTGTCAATGACTAAATACAACAGACTATGTGTAAGTGAAAGCTCTAAACAATGCTTGACACAGATGATTAATCAATAAACATTATTTAAATGAGTAAAAAAGTGAATTTGAGCAACAAAGCCAAAACCAACAGTATTGGGTTATAACCCATAGAACAAACTAAATATTCATGTACCCATACTGATGTAAATAAACAAGTGAACAAGAAGCAAATGGGGAAGAGAAACAGCTCTTTCTTGCAGAAGAATTCCAAAGCATAAAGTTGAAGCAATGAGGGAAAGAGAAAAATCACCATGTAATAATGATTTCAGGCAAGAACTACTAATGCTGCTAAAATTAATAGCAAAGTATGAGGGAAAACAGGGTATCTGTGTAGTGTCAAAGTATTTCTCCCAAGATATACATTAATTACAGAAGGGAAAATCGAGACCCTACGGGGAGAAACAGAGCAGACGCCACTCTGTCCAGGAGGATGAGGTTGGCATCACCAGTAGGAAGACTGGTCAACACTCTCTCCCTGCTGCGATGCCTCAGGACGGAGGTAGCACGTCTGTGGTATTCGGGCCAAACAACGCAGAAAACAACGGACAAACTCACACTGAGGAACAGTCCACAAAATACGTGATCGGGACTCTTCACGTGTCAAGATCATGACACAAAGGAAAGACTGAAGAACAGCCCCAGTCTGAGGAAGCCAAGGAGATGCGACAGCTACACACAGTGTGAGATCCTTGACTGGATCCTGGAATATAAAATAGAAAATGGACATCAGTGGAAAAACTGGTGAAATCCAAGTTTCTAGTTCCATTAACTGTACTATATTGTACCAACATTGATTTCTTAGTTTTGATAACTGTACCGTGGTTATATATGATGTTAACATTGGGAGAAGCATATGGAAGGGCATATTGAAGTTCTCTATATTACTTTTATGACTTATCTATAAATTTGAAATTATTTCAAAATAACAAGTAAGATAATAAATGAGTAAGACAGGGGTAGCTATAGTGCTGTGTTTTATGTTTATAAAGTGCCACACACTCGCAGCTCGTCCCACTACTGCTGCTGCCAGCTTCATGCTGAGACCAGGCTTTGCAGCTGACAGATCTGCTCCACGAGTCCCATCAGCCGGAATCCTCAACGGTCCTGAGAAGTGTCATTCCTGTTTCGCGGCTGCTGGAGCTGTGGCTCAGCGAGGACAGCACTTGGCTTTTTCCCTCGTGCAGTCGTATCAGAGGCCAGTTGGTGAGAGGAGAACAAGCTGGTGATACTTTATTATACAGGGAGTTGGCAAAGGACACACTCATTGTTTAAAAAAGATTTTATTTATTTATTTATTTTTAGAGAGAAGGGAAGGGAGTGAGAGAGAAACATCAGTGTGTGGTTGCCTCTTGTGCGTCCTCTACTGGGGACCTGGCCCGCAACCCAGGCATGTGCCCTGACTGGGAATCCTAAAGGCCACCTTTTGGTTTGCAGGCTGGCACTCAATCCACTGAGCCACACCAGCCAGGAGGACACACTCATTTTGGTCAAAGGATCCCCATCAAATATTCCCAGCAATCCACGTGGTGATGCAGCTCACACAGGAACACAACAGCTGATATGTACTGAGAGTATGCAGTGTTGCCAGAGCCATTAAACGAGATGCAAATCCCACAGTGAAAACTGGGATTCTCATGAAGACACAGACTTAGAAAAGGCCCAGCTTCAAAGATTCTGATTTGCACAGACTGAGGACTCCCGTTTCCAGAAGTTCAAAAACCTCCTTTCTTATCTAAATGAGAGAAAAGAAAAAAAGGTTAAGATCAAGAAAAGATGGTCTTGGTGGATCAGTTCAACCACCTGGACCCCCTGGTATTTATGCCAGAGTCAGGGAGGGTGAAAATCCTAACCCATGTTTTACCCAGAGCTGGAATAGTCACACAAATAAAGGATTCGTCTTAAATCATCAGTTTCATTAAAGTGCTCTTTTGTGTGCAGCCACTCAAAACAAAACCTCATATAAGGAAATCTCATACAAAGACACCCAAAGTGTGCCCAAATTATACACAATATTTTGATACAGTATAACTGATAATAACAACATCAACATAATGAAAGCAGCTATGGGCAACAAAGGTTTTTTTTGTTACTATTTCCCCTTATTATTGTAATTAGAAAACTAGTGGTGGATTACTCAGTTTTCACATTAAAAGTGAAATAACCAAATATGGCCTGTGATGGACATCAAACTGATTAAACCAGTTTTGAAAAACCAGTCAGCACAGGGGACAGAGTGCGTGCACGCACGTGCAAGCGGGTAGGAAACTGAGGAAATTCTCTCTTAACATGAACTGATACTGATACAGGGTGCAGCCAGGGGGGCCTCCCAAAAAAAGAAAGGTGTCCAGAATTCAAAGTGTATAGGAATATTGGAGAGACATATAAGATGTCCTCACCGCCCCCCAAGGGATGAATGGAGCCAGGCCATTGAGAGCTGTTTTGCATAGCAACAGTTTTGCAGCTAACCTCTGGAGGAATGGTTATTTAACGTATCTATAACCTTTAACTGGTTTCATAGATATGTTAAATAGCAGTGGCCAGGTTTGGAGCCAGGGAGAAGGTTGGGGCAGGGACTCAAGATGGTAACTAAGGTCTGCACACCTGAGTGAGAAGGGAGTAGCAGGGGGACTCAAGATGGAACTAGCGGGGACTGAGGATGGAACTAGGAGGACTCAAGATGGGAACTAGGGTCTGCGCTCCTGAGTGAGGAGTGCCTGTGTGGGAGCTTGGAAAAGACTGGATCCAAGACATGAAGGGCCCCGGCTTGGCCAGATGAAGAGAGCCACGCGGTTTCAGCAGAGTGAGGACCCCCTCTTGGTGAGGTGAAAGAGGGAGCCACGTGGTTTTGGCAGGGTGCGGACCCCCCTCTTTCCCAGGTGAAAGGGAAAAACCACGCAGCTTTGCCAGAATGGAGATCCCTGCAGCCAGGTGAAGAAGACAGCCACATGCTTTTGGTGGAGTGTGAACTCCTGCAGCTTTGGTGGAAGAGGCCCACATGGCTTTGGGGTGCCCCCTTTGGCCGGGTGGCCTGGAAAACCAAAAGAGACTTTGACTGGAACTGGGTACAAAGGACTCTTGCCAGTGGACCATGAGAGGGTACCCCAGTACTTTGGATTAACTCGAGATCCTGCACAGTGACACAGCTGACGGTGCCAGCGGCCCGAAACACAGACGTGTGCTCTTTTCCTGATTTACGGTACCCGGAGTTGGGACAGTGGGAGAAGGGAGCGCTGTGTGGGTGTAGGTGTACAACCTAAAGGACTTTGATATTTTAGTGGAGGCATTAAGCCTAAATAGCATTAAATAAACATTTTGTTTCCTTTTCACAAATCTCTGGCATTAAGATATGTCTTTCCAATTGGCGGCGGACAGAAGGGCCCAGTAGATTTTAGTATTTTGTTTTTGGGAGGGGCCCCTGTTGTATAGCAGTTTTGGGCATCCCTAGGTGGGCCAAATACTGTATTGCCCCTCCCTCGGACCTCTTGTTCGGTAACAATACCTGATATAATTCACTGATCAATTATAATCATTCTGGGACTACAGATCTATGTGGTGAATGAATTCCTTCGCCATGGCTGGAGGAGTGACTCTAAGTCTCCTCTCCAGTTACCGCCATGATTCGTTCCCTGCTGGTGACTGGCTGGTGACTGGCGGGCAGTCCTGTCTGCTGCTGCACGGGTCCTTTTTTTCTGCAACAGCTACTTGTAAACAATCAATTGGCTAGCTGAAAAACTAGCCTCATGATAATGTGGTTGGTGGCAAATCAATTTTTTCACATGATGATGATAATGAATTGCTTTCATAAATATATGAGCTAATGCTGTGCCCACAAAGGCATTCAGTTTCAATCCGCTGAAAATGTCAAAAATTTTCCCGTGCCCCAAAACCAAAACAGCTTCTAAATTAAGTAAGTGGGATTTAAGGGAATGTAGAGATGTGGGCTGTGAGGCATATTTGTGCCCCCACTGTAACAGGGTGCAGCCGAGAGGGGGGCCCCCCAAAAAGGATTTGGAATGGGGTCCAGAACTACTCAGGGTGTCCAGGAAATATTAAGATGCCCCTCCACCCCGCACAGGAAGGGACAAATGAAGGAGGGCCATTGAGAGCTGTTTTGCATAGCAACAGTTTCGCAGCTAACCTCTGGAATGGTCATTTAACATACCTATAACCTTTAACTAGTGTCATAGATATGTTAAATAGCTGTGGCCATGCCCTGAGCCAGGGGGATGGAAGTGACTTCCACCCAAGACGTAACTGGGGGGCAGGTCTCCTGAGTTACAGCGCCTGTGTGAGAGCTTGGAGAAGATTGGCTCCACGCCATGGGGCCACAGTTGCCCAGACTCACGATGGCAGCCCAGCAAACTTGTAATAACACAGAAATACTGGCAGGTGTAACTGATTGTGGGAGGAGTCAGAAATAGGGGTACAGAGGAAGATTGGCTCGGGGATTTAAACCCAGACACTGCAGTCATGTAAGAGAGAGCCATGAGTTTGGGCAGAGTTAGGACCCCCTCTTGCCCAGGTGAAAGAGAGAGCCACGCAGCTTTGCCGGAATGGAGATCCCTGCAGCCAGGTGAAGAAGAAAGACATGCGCTTTTGGTGGAGTGCGGACCCCTGCAGCTTTGGCAGAAGACGCCCACTCGGCTTTGGGGTGCCCCCTTTGGCCATGTGGCCTGGAAAGCAAGAGAGACTTTGACTGGAAAAATGGGTACAAAGAACTCTTGCCAGTGGATTATGAGAAGGTGCCACATGACTTTGGATTAATTGGAGATCCTGCCTGGATGGTGACACAGCTGATGGTGCCAGTGGCCTGGAAAAACGAACGTGTGCTGTTTTCCTGATTTACGGTACCCGGAGTTGGGACAGAGGGAGAAGGGAGCGCTGTGGGCACCTGTGGTTGTACTAAAGGACTTTGATATTTTTATGGGGACATTGGGTCACTGCTTTAAGTCTGTACAGCTTTAAATAAACCTTTCCTTTCCTTTTCACAAATCTCTGGCATTGAGAGATGTCTTTCCTCTGGCGATGGACAGACGATTGGGCCCAGTAGGGGGTCCGGAAGGTATTAGTATACCATCCTCTGAAGTCCAGGGCCTGGTGTATCTGTTCTGTAACACCACCTCCAAGTACATTTAAAAGGATGAAAGGCCAAGGCGATCGTGACTCTAAAGCGAGGCACGGGAAATGTGCCCTGTCCTCCAGATCTTCCTGTTTCTGAAAGGCCAGTAGAGGTGTGGTACCAGGGGGCAGAAGCCGCTGGCCATTTAATGAAGAATGAAACTGATTCCTAGAAAACACTCAGAAAGGGCAGAAGTGTGTGTAAGGGGTGAGATGGCTGCTGTAATTGTTACGTTACAATAACTGTCAAAGGCTAGGATGTGCTGGTTCCTCATGTCAAAGGCTTTGTTACTGTATTTGAACTCAAGTTAAAAAAAAAAGGTTAAAGGCAATTGCTGGTTACACAGTACCTCGGGAATGTCCATCATCCTCCGCAACTTCTGATCTCTCCAATTCCAGTCAAAAACCAGAAACTTTAAGGGGTTCAAGTTAAGGCCACCTGAAAGACAGGGAGAGAGTTACTGCGGTAAAGATGTCGTGATATAAGCTAATTAAAATAATTTTTTGTTCTCCTGGCTGCTTTTTGCTTCATTTGCTGTCCTCTTCCCCAGAAACTAATCTTTGCTCATTAAACGCTGTCCTTGCCCGATGGAAAACAAATGCAGCTCTGAGAGGACTTACTCTCCTTGTAATCTTATCACTGATTCTGAGAGCAGCAGAGAAGCCGCTCTTGCTAAACTTGTCCAGTGCTCAAGTGCTGGCAAAGAATCAATCCTGAGCCTCCAGGAAGGCCCAGAGGGTGAGTTTCATTCTTGTCAGGGATTTGATAAGATTCCTGCAGTTTGCGGTAGCAGCCCTGCAGAGGAGTTGAGTCTACTGGAGTCCGTGTGACTGAGGAGGTGAGTGGGCAAAAGGATGAGGATGGGGTTGGGAGGTAAATTTTGGGAAGAAAAGAAAGTTAAGGTGGATGGGCCATACGCAGAGGCTGATCTCCTTTGGGGAGATGGCTAAACCGCCTAAGGACTCCATTTCCACTGTGGTTGGTCCTTTTGATACAGGGTGCAGCCAAAGGGGGCCCCCCCAGAAAAAGATTTGGAATGGTGTCCAGAATTCAAAGTGTATGGGAATGATGGAGAGACATATAAGATGTCCTCACCCCACCCCCACAGGTGTGAGTTGGGGGGGAAGGGACAGTTTTGCACAGCCACAGCCTTGCAGCTAATCCATGGCATTGTCTTTTAACATATCTATAGCCTCTGGCGGTCACTTGGATATGTTAAATGGCTGTGGCCAGGCTTGGAGCTAGGGGGATGAAGTCACTTCCCCCCAAGATGTAACTGGGGGCAGGTCCCCCCAAGTTACAGCGCTTGCGTAGGGGCTTGGAGAAGATTGGCTCGAGGACATGGGATGATTACTGCCCAGACTAACGATGGCAGCCCAGTAAACTTGTATTAATACAGAATACTGGCAGGTGTAACTGATTTTGGGAGGAGTCGGAAATAGGGGTACAGAGGAAGATGGGTGCTGGGATTTAAGAGCCAGGCACGGCAGCCATTGGGAGAGAGCCACGCGGTTTCAGCAGAGTGAGGACCCCCTGTTGGTGGGGTGAAAGAGGGAGCCACGTGGTTTTGGCGGAGTGTGGACCCCCTCTTCCCAGGTAAAAGGGAAAAAACCACGCAGCTTTGCCAGAATGGAGATCCCTGCAGCCAGGTGAAGAAGACAGCCACATCCTTTTGTTGGAGCGCGGACTCCTGCAGCTTTGGTAGAAGAGGCCCACGCGGCTTTGGGGTGCCCCCTTTGGCTGCGGGGCCTGAAAAGCAACAGAGACTTTGATTGGAACTGGGTACAAAGGACTCTTGCCAGTGGACCATGAGAGGGTACCACAGTACTTTGGATTAACTCGAGATCCTGCACAGTGACACAGCTGACGGTGCCAGCGGCCTGCAACACAGACGTGTGCTCTTTTCCTGATTTACGGTACCCGGAATTGGGACAGCGGGGGAAGGGAGCGCTGTGTGGGTGTAGGTGTATAACCTAAAGGACTTTGATATTTTAGTGGTGGCATTAGGCCTAAATAGCATTAAATAAACATTTTGTTTCCTTTTCACAAATCTCTGGCATTAAGAGATGTGTTTCCAATTGGCGGCGGACAGAAGGGCCCAGTAGATTTTAGTATTTTGGTTGTCGGGAGGGGCCCCTGTTGTATAGCAGTTTTGGGCATCCCTAGGTGGGCCGAATATTGTATTGCCCCTCCCTTGGACCTCCTCTTGTTCGGTAACACTTTCTGTCTGGAGAAAGTAATGGAATGTGGCTCCAGGGTACCTCCGGATTGTCTGAGTCTCAGAGGCCGCAGAGCTGTTCGAAGAGCTGGACACAGTTAGCTCTTCGAACTCCCCATGAGCTGCCCCAGCGCCGAGCTGTTCCGTGTTTCACGGGGAAACACAACCGAAGCCCTCCTTCACGGAGCTGCAGCACTTCCCCTCAACTTTCCTCTGGGGTTACTTCAGTATTTTCCTCTCTGCCCAAAAGAATTTTTCATGCTTCTTATAATTACAATGCCTCCTGTATAGCTCTCTGAAAAATTAAAAATGGTAACGAATGACAATGGGTTGACATTCTTCCCTTAAAAATAATTCACTGCTGGTGGCAGAGCAAACACACAACCTCTCCAGAAGGCAACCAGGCAGTTCAGAATAGAGGCTTTCAAATGTTTCCCACTTGGTAGAATAATTTTCCTTCTATGGTATACCCCAATAAAAATATCAGAAATTTAAACACAGTTACTTGCCAAGATGATCACTACATTATTATTTATAATAGCAAAAAATCAGAAACAATCCAAATAGTCTGGCATGATAGAACTGAAAAAAAAAAATCTAACTTGGTTTTAACATGCGAAATATACAATGAACTTGTCTAACTCAACAGCAAAAAACAATCTGATTTAAAAATGAACAGAGGAACTAAATACATTTTTTTCCAAAGAAGACATCCAAAATGGTGAAGAAGTACAGGAAAAGTACTAATAATCAGGGGAATGTGAATAAATACTACAGTGAGACATCGCCTCCCACCCATTATCAAAAAGGCAAAAGACAACAAGTGCTGGCGAGGTAGTGGAGAAAAGGACCCCTTGTACACTGCTAGTGGGAATGGAAATTGGTGCAGCCACTACAGAAACCAGTACGGGAAGTTTCTCGGGACATTGAAAAAGTTATTACCATAAGATCTGGCAGTACCATTTCTGGGTATATAGTCAAAGGAAGTGAAATTACTATCTTGAAAAGATCTCTGCACCTCCATGTTCACTGCAGCATTATTACAACAGCCAAGAAATAAAAACCATCAAACTGTCCATTAATGAGTGAGTGACTAAAAAAAAGTGACATGCATATACAATAGAATATTGTTCAGCCATAAAAAAAGGAAATCCTGTCATTTGCAACAAGATGGATAAACCTTAAGGGCATTATACTAAGTGAAATAAATCAGAGGAAGACAAATATTGTTTGACCTCACTTATATGGGCAGTCTAGAAAAACCAAACTTACAGATACAGAGAAGAAACTGATGTTTGCCAGAGGTGGGGGTGGGGAGAATATCCAAAAGTGGTCAAAAGACAAAAATTTCCAGTTATAAGATAAAAAGTAAATTCTAGGATTTAATGTACAGCATGGTGGTATAGTTAACTGTATATGTGAAAGTTGCTAGAAGAGTAGATCTTCACAATTTTCACAAGAAAAGAAATGTAACTATGTGAGGTGACTGGTGTTAGCGAACACTGGAAACTAACACATGGAACTAACACATGGAAAACCACCTGCACTCCTGGAAAGGGAGAGGTGACTCTTTGGCTGGGGCTCATGGGGGACAGGGTATCCATCCCTGGCCTCTCCTGGGGCCCAGCTGAGCTCTGCCAATTCTGTGTCTCACACATGGACTATGAGCACGTCTCGTCTGTTCCTTCATTTTCACCGACTTTTATGTTCACAAGATGAAAGTGCAAACTTCTACCCTGGCTGGTGTGGCTAAGTGGATTGAGTGTCAGCCTCTGAACCAAAAAGTCTCCGGTTCAATTCCCAATCAGGGCACATGGGTGGGTTGTGGGCCAGGTCCCACAGGGGGTGTGTGTGAGGCAACTGATCACTGTATCTCTTGTACATTGATGTTTCTCTCCTTCTCTTTCTCCCTCCTTTTCCCTCTCTCTAAAATAATAATAAATAAAAAAGATAGCTGAATTCTCATACCTATTAGAAAAAAATCCGAACTCCTTAGCTTACTGTTGCAGGTCCTTCCTCCACAGTCTTTTTTTTTTTAATTTTTAGAATTTAATTATAGTTCAAGTACAGTTTTCTTCCACAGTCTTTCCCACTGAATCAATGGCTAGTACAGCCCATGAAGTCTCCAAGGAACAAAGGCGGTCTCTTTCATATAAATAACAACTAATATTTGTTGCATTCTTAAGGTATAACACTCACTGTGTTGAGCTCTTTATTGGCATTCAATTTTTATACTAATCCTTTGAGAAAGGTGCAATTATTATCTCTGTTATTTGGACAGAGTAACAAGTTTGGAAAGGTTGAGGAGCTTGTCACGGTCACAGAGCCGGTGTGGTACGTTGCTGGACCCAGGATCTAGATCAGGAGGCCCGAGTCCATAACAGGGGCTCTTAAACCCAACACCGATTTGCTCACTTACCACCTCCTCCAGACACACACACGCATCTCTGCCTGCCCTTCTGTGATCCAGCTGTTCTCCCATTCCTGAATGCTCTTCTCATATCTGCACACCTCAAAAATCCTATTTCAATCCTCCCCATTCTTTAAAGATCAGTTAAAAACTCTTTCCTCTGTAAAGCTTTCCCTGCAGATTCAGGAACCACGTCACTCTCCCTCATTTCAACTCTTCTAGCCTCAGAAGTGCTCACCTGGCCCTTGGCCCTTACTGTCCCTTTACACACTTATCTCTTCAACAGGATCAGCAACTCCCTGACTGGGAAAGGCCCAGGAACTGGGAAGGCCTAAGCTGAGTGACTTTGGGAGGCTCAACCCTCAAGAGCTTTAGTTTTCTCTGCTAAGAAATAAGAATGCCAGTCTGCAAGGATGTTTTGAATGATAAAGGAGATCAATGTAAGCTTGTCAAGAACACCATTAAGTACAAATAAGAACTCAAAAAATATTTGTTTCCCTTCCTCATCTGGGGCCTCCAGCTTGTTACGTGTAATTATAAAAAGCCCTGTATACAGTGTGTTCATTAACTGAATAGGTTTTATCTGGAGAGAAACACTACTGTACTGGAACACATTACTGCTAGATATTTTAAAAAACATGGAATAGCTCCTGTCAGTTATAAAACAATGTTGTATTACTATATTAAATAAGTAATTTGGAAATGAGCAATGACAAGGAATCATCAATCTGTCTGGCAGGCATAACAGGTAATAAGATCATCAGCAGGTCAGCAGATGGATGTTGTCTGGAATACTTTCTGGGTAAAGCACTAAAAGCAGAAAAGTGCATTTGAGAGAAATATTCTAGAATACTAGTATTTCATCCACAGGAACTTCATTTTTGTTTCAACATGGTTTATATACCAGTTCTTAAGTGGAACGGGAGTCTGGGAGAACAAAGCCTCAATTAAGTGAGAGGGAAATACTCAACACATCCAGTTCTACAAATTCCAGAGGGTGCAAACTGATGGAATTAATTGTAGATCCACTAACCTGCTTAAAGCAGTTGAAACCTGAATGTATTCAGGTGGGCACGTGTACTGCCATTTGCCACAGTCCTTATCATTATTCCCTATTCCACCTGCTGGCTGACTGTAGAGACTGAGGGCAGTTTCCAACTTCTGAATTAACACAGAGATCTGGTTTCATACATCACACATGTGGTATCCCAAAACTCACATGGGGCTGAGGCAAACTCCTAGCTCTGAAGAGTATCACTGGCTCTTTTCATACCTTGTTTAACGAGTTCTTTAATCCTCCCTGGAGTTCCTACACCCAGGTGCACGGCACGCTTCTCCAGCAACTTTACCTGCTCCCGGACCTATTTCAAGATGGAAGAGAATAAAGAGAATTGTGATTTGAGGCAGACTACCATTTATTCTCATATAAATGTGGCCTTCGTCCACAGAGTCTGACTCACAACTCCCCAAGCCCTTGCAATTTCCTATGTGTTGAGAGTGATAAAATTGTCTTTTGTTATTTGAATGAGGTGACTTTTGGGAGCACCTGAGGATGGGGACTGGGTCCAGGAAAACCAACCATGTAATTAGAGGGTTGGAACTTTCAGTCCCACCCCCAACCTCCAGGGAGAGGAGAGGGGCTGAAGGTTGAATCAACTGCCAATGGCCGGTGATTTAGTCAATCATTCCTATGTATTGAAACCTCCATAAAATACTGGAGAGGAAGGTGTGTGACGAATTTCCGGGTTGGAGAACACGTGGAGACTGGGGAGTGTGTTGTGCCTGGAGAGGGCATGGAAGCTCATACTCTTTCCCATACCTTCCATGTGGAAAGTATGTGCCCTATGTGTCTTCCATCTGGCTGTTCCTTAGTTACGTGCTTTTATAACAAACTGGTGATCTAGTAAGTAAAATGTTTTCTGAGTTTTGTGAGCTGCTTTAGCGAATTAATTGAATTCAAAGGAGGGGGTGGTAGGAACCTCTAATTTACAACCAGTTGGTCAGAAGTATAGGTAACAGCCTGGGCTTGCTACTGGCGTATGAGATTTGGGGTTGGGGATGTCTATGCAGTCTTGCAGGACCAAACCCTTAACCTGTGAAATCTGATGTGTCTGTAGGTAGATAATATCAGAACTGAGTTGCATTGGAGGACATCAGGTTTGTGGTGTCCAGAGCATTTCCTGGATGTATGAGGAAGTACCTCTCCCATGTATTTCAAAGAGTCATTAGAAAGTATAATCAATCATATGCCAATTTCGAGCATTTTATGTAAAAGTTAAGAAAGTTAAAGAGCAAAAGGGTCCTTGTCTAGGGTCAACTTCTAGGGCAAAGAAGGTTAATATCGAGATAGAAGAAAACTGGTAAATCTTCAAAGAATCCAGGGGTCAAACCTCAGCTGCTGTAGAGGAACCTTGGAGCATGGAGGAGTAGAGTAGTGACTGCTGGGTGGAGAGGCGGGAGTGCAGAGGCAGGAACGCAAAGAAAACCAGAATCATTAAGCATGTTATGTAAGGAGGCACCAAAGAAAATGCTTGCTAAGGAGATAAGTAGAGATTGGAGGGAAAAGCTGGTCTACAAATGACCTGTAAGGATCACTGACATCTCCCACCAAGAACCACAGGCCCTTTGCTTACCTTTATGTGTTTTGCAAATAATTTCATAACTTTGCTGTCTCCTCTGAATGATGTCATTGACCTAATGAAAAGGAATAGATTAATCCATACAAAAAGTCGCTCATTCTGGGCTATTTTGACAACTTAAGTATTATAGCTTACTTTATTCAAAAAAATATGTGCATTTATGTATGTATATATGTGCATATGTACCTGTATTTTATGTGTACACACACATAAAAATTCTGAGATTTTCAGGTTACCCATCTCTGAATTGAAAGTGGGGTAGCCTTTTAATCAAGCTTGTAACTCTCACACTTAAGGTTAGCTTTACTTAGTTCCCCTTGATCATTGAAACACAGATCTACATTTTACTTGCAGAACAATTTCTGTATTTCAGGTCCCTGGCAGAGAATTTATCTTCAACCTCTACAGTATATTTCTCATACAATATTTGGTTGTGAGAACGACTGGGGTGGCCAAAAAGTTCATTCATTTTTTTCTGTAAAATAAAATATATAATTTTTATTTTCACCAATAACTTTATTGATTTGGATGTTTTGAATATGTCAGCTACCTCCTGCGTCTAGTGGGTAGAGGCTGGGGGTGCTGCTAAACATTTTCCAATGCATAAGACAGCCCCACAGCAAAAACTTCGCAAACCACTTCTGACACGTTCGATCAGTCACATCACTTCCTGCATATACTGCAAATCTTTTTTGATGTTTCAGTTGTGTTTTCACCTTGCTTGAGATAATAAAGCATAATACACTGAAACTGTTGTGTATCTTCTTCCATTTCCATATATAAATGGCCACACAAAAATTCACCAGTTTTTATTTATTTTTTTAATATTTTGTTTATTTTTAGAGAGAAGGAATGAAGGAAAAAGAAAGGGCGAGGAACATCAGTGTGTAGTCGTCTCTCATACACCCCCAACTGGGGACCTGGCCTGCAACCCAGGCATTTTCCCTGGCTGGGAATTGAACTGGTAACCTTTTGGTTTGCAGGCTGACACTAAATCCACTGAGCCACAACAGGCAGGGCTGATTTTTTTAAAAAAATGCTTGTTGATATGACAACTGTCACAATAGTCTAACAAAATTGTTTTGAATGAAGTTAAAGACAAGAAAGCACTGCTAGAGCCCTCACCCGGAAAAAACTAAATGAGCTTTTTGGCCAGCACAGAATCATACAGCAGTGGTGCCAGCCTGTGCTCTGTGGAGCCCAGGGGCACGCACAAAAGTTGTTTGTGGTTGAGGGGGAGACGGGGATGAGGCGACTGGGAGTGGCAAGACAGCTCATGTCCTTCATCAGAGCAACCCACTTCTATTCACTGTGCAGACTGAGCTTCTCCATAAATTTTATATGTAGATAAGCTTCTCTTATAAATGGGTATAAAATAACAAAATCTTTTAGTTGATGTTTGGGGCAAGAACCACCATGGTAAAACTGCTCAAGAGTATTTCTTTCCTTTATATATCATTATGTTTTGGGAAATATTATTGACCAATAGGAGCCTATGAGTTCACAAATAGTAAATCATGTTATACAAATTCTCTTGCACTTGATTTTTATTTATATATAAGTTTTCTCCATGGCAAGGTTAAGCAGGAAGACAATTTAGGGGACATATTTAACATAACTCATGGTTCTCAAGGGAGCAGATTTTTACAAAAGTCAGAATTATTCATCATTAGTCTTTATGAATAGGGCTCATTGTGCTTGCTCAAAAGTCACCTTTTACAAATCACCTAACCTAGAAATAGATCCTAGTATTTGCTTGGGGACTCAGAAAAACACTGAGAATTGGTAAATGAGGTGCGACAACACAGCGCTTTTATGCCCCTCAGAAAGGCCTTTATGTATAGTAAACATTCAAATCAATTTGACAACTTGCTTTTAAGAGGCCACCTTGAGGCTAATGTCTTTGTCATTAGTGTCTGAATATGAAATAGGTTCTGTGGCTGTAGATTTTAAAACACTGAAAAGTCTATGTAAACTCCTGTGATTTCAAATACAGCTTCCCAGGAGCAGATGGAGTCGTGAATATCAATTATGTTTAAAACAGAAATAGTTGAAAGATCACTTTTGTGTGTGCCTAATGGGGAATGGAGAGTTTGAATGACTATTAACAAAGCTTAATAATGAATACTTTTCTAAATTTATGATCAAATTTGTTCATTTGGAAAAACAGATTCTGAATAATTACCAAATGTCTACATTTGCACCTTAGTTTACTTGATAAAGTTCCTCTTTTTCAGGACTTAAGTTTTACTTCACTTTGTCTTGTGTCAGAACCTGGCACAGAGCCCACCGTGGGCGAGGGCAAGTGTCAGAAAATCCCCCTTCACTGTGATGGCCCTTCTCTGACGGCTGAGTGTCACCGGATCCAGCAGGGGCCTTTTCATGGACTCTACACAACTACAGTAAGTGAAAAAGTAAGTGAAAGAAACGCTAAAAGCACTGCCAAATTATCTTTAAAGCCTAATTTTTACATTTAAACTTCGGCCCATTTGGAATTTATCTTGGTATGAGAAGTGAGTGAGATTTGCTACCTACTTGTTCCAGCACAAGTAGGTATTAAATAGTGTATTAAATAATCCATCTTTCCCTACTGATTTGTTACCTTTGCCACAGGCTACATTTTCATATATATATGGGTCTTTATCTGAACCTTCAGTTCTGTTCCACTGATCTGTCTGTCATTCATGTGCTAGTCCCACACTGTAACGTGATTTTTTAAAAAATCTGATATTATAAGGCATAGTATCTGCTCACAGTATCTTTTTCAGTATTTTCCTGAGGCCCTATTTCTTCTTATAACTACTTAGAAACAGTTTAGTGTAAAAACAATTCTTTTGGAGTTTCTTTGGGAATCTGCGGAACTTGTAGATTATCCTAGGTAAAACAATCTTCCCAACATTGAGTCAGATTATTCAAGAATCTAGTTTGGTTTTTTGTTTGTTCAAGGTCTTCTGCATCACGAGTACAGTATTTCCCTTATACGGGCTTTGGTAAGTTTGTTTCTTGGTGCTGTTTTCTTACTTTAAATTAGATCTCCCTTCTGTTTTTCCTTCTGACTGGTTCCTGCTCCCATGCGCTCTGTTCTCACCCTGCCCTCTGCAGCGTGTGCTCCCCCGCAGTGGCCAAAGCCACGCTTTAGAATGAGTGTTCCGATCACCCTCACTGTCCCCTCTGCCTGGAGTGCTCTTACATGTCTGCTTGCCTTTCTCCTTCACTTTGCTTACGGCTCTGCTCAAATGTCTTCTCTGTGGGGAAGCTTTCTGGAACTACCCTTTTAAAAGAAGCCCCCATCCACTTCTATCCCTTTGTCATGCTGTATTTTTTTCTTATACAACTTACCGCTACCTGACATTATAATGTATATTGACTTTTTATTGTCTGTGTTCCTCACGGAAAGTTCTATGAGAGAGTGGACTCTGTTTGGTTCACGCTCTGTAGTCCATCTCCAGGTACACAGGACGCATCAGTTTGGCACATATCGGTTATTCAGAAAACGTTTACGAATGACAGGCAATGCTTCCAACCTAATGAGCTCCAGGGCTCGGACGGCAGAGCTGCAGATGATCAGCATCAGGACTGATTTCTTCTCAGTATGGTTTTTCCGAAGCTTTGCCCACTTAGGACAGACTGAAAAAAGACCATAAGAAAAATATTATTCTAAATGTGGCAAAATAGGGCCCCCAGAGTTGAGTGTTCTCCAATTACTTCTTTGTTAGTGTTTAAGTAAAATAAAACATAATGAGCACTATTTAGATTGTACTTGCTGGTTATTCTAGGTATTAGATTAAAGAGAAACATCATTAACTTACAACACAAAACATATATTATGCCAAGTAGCTAAATGTGACTAGTTTCAAGACTAAGTAAAAAAAAAGTTTGGAATAATGCATTTGCAATATTTTAATGTTTGATGCTTGAAGGCAAGATTGAGTAGGAGAAGAAATATGATTCAATAATATTTACTTTTAAAGGGACACAGCACAAAATATAAAATGAAAATGACATTAAAATAATAGCAAACATTTGTTAAACAGTGACATTATATCAGGCACTTTACATGCATTCTCTTGTTTGATGCTAACCCAGTGAGGTTGATTTGATTATCTACATTTATATTTGCTGAATTTGGGGCTGAGAAAGGTTTGTAAACTCAAGCTGAGAGTCATCAGAACTGATTAGAGTTTGAAAGAAGAATGCTAAATCTCTGAAAGTTACATCTAAATTATTTCATTATTGGTTACAAACAAATGACTAGCTTGTGTGAATAATCTAGTTATTACTGACTACAACACAATACATATTGAAAAAGTCAAATTAGATTGACTCTGTAATACCCAAGGTCAGAGTTCTAAAGATGTGAACAGAATTTCAGAATCTCCTGGCTGGAGCAGAGGTCAGACAGTCCCCTTCCTTATCTTTCAGATAAGAAAAGTAAGTCCCAAAGAGTACTCGGTGACTTGTCCTAGGTCCAACAGAAAATTAGCGGGGACCTGAGGTTAGAACAGTAATTAGCATCTGGATTCCTAGACCAATACTTCCAATGTGTTATAAAACAAAATGAGACCAAATCCCAAATTACCAAAGCCAGAGCAAAACAAGAATAAAGTTAAATAAATAAAAATTAATATCAAGAGACACACAAAAAATCCATTTAAGATCCATTTAAGATCCTGCATTTAAAATCCACTTAAGGTGGAAACTTTTTTTTAAAGGTGAAAAGTTTATTTTCAATGTAGTTTTGACAGTTTTTAAACATACTGAACTTATGTTTTAATGTAAAAACAACTTGGTGAATAATTTTTTTAAATGAGAGTTTACTTACTTTCTTTTAGGTACGATGAAAGACTGTGAGTCAAATCGTTGGCCTTGAGGAAACAGGAGTCTAGAAACATGAGAAACATGCTTTGTTGAGAATTTTGCAAACGAACATAATAAAAATAGATTAAATGTAAAGAGTGTTTTTTTGAATGGGGTTCAAAAAATAAATAAAAATAGTTAAAATAAAATAAAATACTAATTAATAATTTTATAAAATAGTAAAAATAAATAATAAACAAAAATAGTTAAAATAAAATAATAAAACACTTATTAATAATTTTATAAAATAATAAAAATAATTAAAAATAGGTTAAATGTAAAGAGTGTTTTTTGAACAGGGTAAAAATTAGTGATTTGGGGGCTCATTATATATTTTAAAGTCTTGTCTAGTATTTAAGACAATAGCAGCAGCAACAACAAGTAAACTTTATCCCTAGTTTCACAGAATAGTGAAATAAAAGCTATTGTATTATTCATTGGAGTATTGAAGCATCTTTATTTTTCAAATCCATAGAACAGACAATGTACAAAGGCAAAGCTGAAACAGCTAACAAATCTACGCGGAGGTGTTCAAACTCACTAGTCATCACAGGCATGCAGATGAGGACACAATAACTTTTACACACACACGAGGAGGGCAACTGTTGGATGTAGAACACCAAGTGCCGTCTAGAGTGCTGGGTGACAGAAACTCCCATGAACTGCAGGTGAAGGTGCAGGCTGGTGCAGCTATTCTGCAAAGTAGTAAAAATAGGACGCATACCACCCCATGACCCCAGGATTACATTTCTGAGTAAATAACGGAAAGAAATTCTTGTGTGGTCTGTAAAGCAACATACACAAGTATATTCACCCCAGCATTATTTGTGATAGTGGGGAACTGGAAGGGACCTAGGTGTCCATATCTGAGAACATGGATGAGTAACAGGTGATAGATGAAGTCGCTGGAATACTATGTAGCATTTTGAAGCACTCAACTAGATGTTTGTAAAGCCATATAGGCATATATAAAAAAAGTGTTAAGTCGGGAAGACACAGAATGAGTGGTTCAGTACAACATCATTTAGAAAAATTGTAAAATGTACACACCTAGAGCAACATGACATATTTCACGTTTAAAACCACTGATACAGAGTGAATGCCTATAGGGAAAGGGAACTGGAGTGTGTGTTAGGAAATAATACATCAAACGCAATGTAACACCACAATAAAAGACAGTGTAACACCAAAACATGGGGCTTGCTCAACCCTGGTCTAGCAATTATGCAGTATTATTAACTCTGTAACTGAGATGGATAAAGAGCAGCATCCTGTTTATTGTCCTAATTTTTTCTACAAGGAAACATTTGTCTATAAACACAGCAGAGTAAATCATTACTAAATTAAATGACATTGACATGGTAACCTAGCATTTATACATTATGTGAGTAACGAACTTCAAAGGTGCTGCCTCCTGTACTGTTGTGCAGCCTTCGCTGGTCTTTAAACTGCATTTTCCCAAGCCTGGATGTGGTGAGATTCACTTGGAGAGCTTTACAGAAGACACAGAGCCCTGGGACAGACTTCCTTTTTTGTGGTGACTTAGAGTTTTTCGGGGGTGAGCCTGGGGATTTGCTTTTTAAGTTGCCAGGTGGTTCAGGGCAGCTAGTGCTCAGGAGGACAGCAGATTCGCTCAGAGTGACTCCTGCCTCGAAACCCTAATCAAGTGCCCCTGTGTGTGACAGTCACAATGCACCGTGACCGCACTAACTGAAAAGACTCGGTCCTGTCCTACAGACACAAACCAGCTCAGATCAAAACCAAGTCATGCACTCGGCAAACTAAGCAGAAAAAATACTTTATTATTTTTTAGCCCCCTTATATTCATGCCCTGTCTTGAGCCTGCACCAAATAACTCGGTGTGTCCCTCCTCTCCCCTAGCACAGACTTCCTCTCTGTCCTTGGTCCCATGCGCGTAGTGACGGGCCTTTTCTCCACAACCTTCCTACAATGGCTTTGATTGCTGTGAGTCAGAATGGCCTAATGTCTTAACTGAAAATGAAAACCTGTTCTTTTTGGCTGTAACAGTATTTGAAATATATTTACCATTTTCTCCCTCCCTAAACCAACACATGACCACACATTCTTGCCTATTACTGAACTCTAATTCAGCAATAATATAATGTAAACTCACTATGGAACTCAAATGACTCCTCAAAGGTATCTTCTGATCCTCATCTATCTACAGCTCCAGTAGATTAAGGGTTATGATGTTCCATTAGGTTACAGAGTTGCAGTGGTCTCATTATCTCCCGAGTCCTTCCAAAGTTGGAGGTTTGCCCCCACCAAAAACTAGAAAGAAAAACTGACCCACAGCAAAACCAAACTTTCACTTGAACCTTGCAAAGAGGCTTTGTTATAACACGTGCTTCCTGAGAAAGAGCAGTCAGAGCCCCTCCTCCGGAGGAACTGCTGGGTGGGGAAGACTGTTTCTCGCTGCTGGTGGAGCCCTCTGGGCTCAGCAAGTCAACAACTCCGGGTCTTGCTCGAGGGGAAATGCAGCCCTTCAATTCCCTGAAGGCTGTCCCTCTTGGAGAGGAGATGATGGATGGGGCACTCGTGCCTCCAATCCAATGTGCATTTTATAAAAAAGCGTATCACGAAGGAGTTATGAAAATTCAGGGAACGGACTGTTTTTCAGCTTCTCAAGCCCCTGGAAAGCATAAAGTTGAAATGGAAGAAGGAAATCAAACCACCCTTGACTTTTCCCGGAAGCAGCATTAGGTAGCCCTCGGAGTCTATAAACTGCCCATCTCAGGCACGGCACCCAGACTGCGTGTGTCTGAGCTTATGACAGCGTCTCCTCCATCTCTGCCCAAGAGTCACAGGATGTTTCATAGATTTGAAACTAGTTAAAATATGTTGTTTAAAAAATTTGCATTATCTTTTAACTTAATTATAAATACCCTAAGACAGCAGATTTCAAACGATACTAGGCTGAAGAATCACCTGAGGTGAGGTATTGGCCTTGCTAAAAGTGCAGAATTTTGACCCTATCTTTAGATGGTTTGCTCAAAAAATTCTGGGCTGGGACCCAAAAACTATCCTAAAAACAGAAGCATAATTAGATATCCATGATAAGAGCAGCAACTAAGCTGCTTATTAAAGCTAACATTCTTGTCTATAAAGGATGAATAAATTGTTTCATATCTATACTTTTAAATGAATGGTTTAACTTTGTTTTTATGTAACATCTATCCTCCTTAGGAATTCTTACTCCTCAAAGATTCTGTTAAAACAATGCATGAGCAACAATTAGCCTTTTGAGTAAAAATACAATTAATAAATTTTTTTATTAGATTGAACAAACATCATTTAGCATTTTAACAAAAAAAAATCATCCAAGAATTAAAACTACGAGGCTGAGGAAAGGAGTATTAGAATGGGGGATACATAGGGTCTGGCACAAATTACGTCCTCTTTTTATTACACAATCTTTTATTACAAAATCGTAAGCATGTAATTCTGTAACATAACAATATCACAAATACACCATATGACTGACATGTTGGTGAAACGTTCAAATTAAATCAATAGATTACTACACCCATGTTATTACCCTACCAACCACACTCAAGCAGGCCTTACTTTTGTCAGACCCTGTATTATTAATGTCTGGCTGAGGTACCTGGCCACGCGTAAAGATGAGTCTGTTTCGCTCCTCCTCATCAGGAAAATTATTACCAATAACAATGGGTCCTTCTGAATGACTAACCTCTGAATAATAAGGAAAAAAAATAGGACCACCCCCCCACCCCTTCAAACCAAACCAAACCAAACCAAACCAAACCCAACCCAACCCAACCCAACCCAACCCAACCCAACCAAACCAAACCAAACCAAACCAAACCAAACCAAACCAAACCAAACCAAACCAAACCAAACCAAACCAAACCAAAGAAGCCTGGCTGTACCTGGTAGCTTAAGTTCTTCTAATTCAATCACTGAGCGATTGCTGCTGTAATAGTCCTTCATTAGTTTCTGCAGGTCTTCAGGTGTCCCTGGTTTGGGCTCTGATTTTGCGAGAATGTCAGTAATTTTCTTCTAAGAAACATGAAGAAAGAAAATGAGGGAGGAAAGATTTTAGAATGGCATCTGGCTTAGGAGGGATTGATTCCTCTGGCATTTAACCTGCACACAGTTCGGTGATGGCTGAGGATGAATGTGAATAAACAGAGTTGAGAAAACTGAACAGATATTTCTTGGACATTACTGCTTTGAAAAATGAATGGGTGATCTCAAAGACTCCTTGTAACTTAGTTACAAAGACTTCTAGGAGAACTGACATTGTTATAGGAGTCTCCAAAATAGGGTATTATTTTCTGGTAAAAGTCAAGAAAGCTTGTTGCTGTGGAACCCTCCCCATGCCCGGGACAGCAGAATTTTGAGAGCTGCTTGCCTAACCTGGTTTTCAAGGCGTTGACTCTCAGTCTGGATTTCTGGGGTTAAAGTAAAAGCTGCAGGAGCTATCTGAGCATAAGACCCACTGAGAAGGGGAACTTTTAGACCCTCGATTTTCAAGCTTTGGGAGACAGTCTTAAAGTGGTCCTTGGGAAATCAGAACAGAAAATATTGTACAACATCTATTTTGACCTGGACTTATTTGTGCAGCACTTACTGAATGCCTGCAATGTACTAGGAACACACAATCTTTCATCATAAACTTCCCTTCTCATTTCCTTCTAATGTTTCACCAAAGATCTAGAAAGAGCCATTTCCCATCCTCCCCTAGCCCCCAGCTTCCCCCCCCTCCTTCCACAATATCCTCATTTTTATACCACTGCCAAGAATGGTCAGAGTCCTGTCACATGAAGTAACTTTTAAAAATATGTCATCAGTGGGCACACATTAGCATGACCTCATCCAAGGCTAAACTATCTAGTGAGAGCTCTGACCTTGAGCCGCCAAGAACTTAACACTCCTGAAGTCCATTAATGCACAAACTATCAAAGAGAAGTTAAAGTTACTTCTTTAAGGCCTTGCCAAACCTCAGCCAATTTGGCATCTCCTATCTTCCTATTTGGCCATTTGCAAGCAAAGAAAACATATGCACACACACTACAGTTTTCTAAAAGCTTGCTGTTAAGTAATTGGTTTGAGTCCATCTTCTTTCCTCTAATCTCAATCATATTTCCTCTGCTGACTTCAGCAGTAGACCCTTCTTGGCAGGGAGAGAATTGCACTCCTGTTTTCACAACTGTGGTGGAAGGTCAAAGCTAACCACACTTTCTCCAAGTCTGAGCCATAAGAAAGTTTGTATAGGAGCAACAGAGTCTTCCTTCCACATGCTCACAGCCAAGTATTAAAATACAAGGGGGCCCTTTTGCTTTAAATTATGCTTCCAAGTGAGAGTCAGAAATGCCTTATACTACCTTCAGCTGCTTATTATTTTCTCTTTTAATACTCTAAGATAAAAGGTTTCAAAACTTGAAATGGCTAAGGAAAGGAAGTTGGTGCACTTCTTTCCTTGGACAGAGCCAGAGGGGCCAGAGGGCAAGACAGCTCTGTGCCTCTTCTAGAATTAGAAACCCATGTCTGACTGCGAACCACAGGGAAAACACAGGGTGGGTAAGAAAGATGTTTAGTGCTCCGCAAAACTGAAATAGGAATCAGAAGGATTTATTTTTAACTCCAGCAGAAACTCTTATTACAAGTGACCTTAGGAAAGTCACCCAACCTCACTGAATCTTACAATTTTTGCCTCACTAAAGTGGTGATTACAATAATTGCCTCATCAAAGTACTCTATAAAAAGGGTGATGTACACCACTTAGGGCCACACCATCATAAGGAATTATTAGTATTACCTTTTTCCTCTTCCTGGTCTTGGTGGTATCTTCATTTGCTTCCTTTGGTTGTACCAAGAAACATTCCTTAGGCTATAAAAAATACAAATGAGAAAACTTTCTCTTAGCATGATGAGGTGTCAACTAATGGTAACAATCCCAAAACACCTATTGCCATAAACATATTCTCTGGCGTATCTTGGTAATATTCTGCAGACAGACAGATGCTGGAAGATCCACTGTGTGCTGTCACACAGACGGGAAGATCTTTGAACAAAGGCCCGAACGTGCGAGTGCACATGTGTGTTTGGGTCGGTGTGCAGGGTCTTAAAGATTAAAGACAATAGCCAGGTTTGCAAATACCGGCAGAAATAGATGTGATTAAAATGAAGATGTAATAAGAAAATTTGACTGTTTAGACTGGCATTTTCCATGAGCTATATCAATGTGTGAGTCTATATTTTCAAGTCACTGGTTTATTATTTTATTATTTTTTATTCTTTCCTTTTCTCAATAAGCATAGAAAATCTGAAGTAGAATATATTTACTTATATTTTATAAAACCTGCAACAAATGTCTTATCTATGTACAGTGACTGTAAAGTGAATGTTTCTTATAGTCTGAGAAATCTCGGCACCATGGCATCTTGGGTAGTCAGTTTTGCCTGCTGCCTTGACCCCTGAGTACTCTGTACAGTTAAGTGCTATTTTTACCCTGTCTCTCTTTTTTAATGTAGGAAAACAGGAAATCTGGACTGAGGCTTCGATTTATAAAATAGAATGCCTCAGATTCCATATTTATTAATCATAAGCAGGAATATAAAATGTTTCCTGTGTTGGATCTTTTATGCAACATTTTCAAACAAGTTGCCAACTAAGATATAAAATGTAAGTGAAAACTTATTCTGAAATTTTCCTTAAATTTCCATTCCAACTAGAGAGTACTCAGTTTAAGCTGGTAAGCTACTAACTAAAGCAGTCTTGTCTCCACTGGCTCTGTTTAAAATGATTACAGATGAAGCTTTCTCTTAAAAGTCTGCAGACAGTCTGCAGATTAAGAATGCTGATGGCCTGAAGCCAGAGAGAGAGATATAATGCTACATAATTTCTTCAAGACATGGGACCAGGATCTGTGGTTTCTAGATTCTGTTTCAGTTAGTAGAGAAGTAGATTCAAAAGGCTCAAGATTAAAGTAACATGGAATCTTGAAATTTTAGCTTCTTCTCAGTTAAAACAAAAAACCTGCAGAGGGCAATTGCATCATAGCTAAAGAATAAAAAGATATTATGACCTCTCTTGCTTAGAAAGTTGAGCGGTCTTGTGGATGCAGCAGATACACGCCAATTAGAAACTGGGCCAAGGCCACTAATATGTCACACAAGCTGCCAGATGGTTCTAAGAGTCCAATTACACACCAGGCCAACATTCAGCTCATGCTCCTGAGTCAAAGGCCTGGATATGATTAGCAGGTCCATCAAGGCATCAAGACACTGCAGTATCTTGTCACTGGTATCAAGGTGTTTGGGAAGCAAATGTAGGCAGAAACTTGTTCCATTTTCTTATTTAGCAATTGGGGGTGCTCTTTAAGGTATGTTCAAAGTGCTGGGTTGCATTTATGATAGGTTTACAAAGCCAATCAACTCAACATGACACAAATGTGGAAATGAAATCAGCTATAAGGATACAGACTCTGGAAGGAAAATAAAAATGTAATTCTGAATCATACATGGGAAAAACATGTTTGATGAATTGCTCTACTGAAGATACAGAATTAGGTTACATATTAAGTTCAAATTCTTTGATCATCCTAAAGAAAATGCAAAGTTTAGTATTTGTTTTCTGGGAGCAGTTACCTTAGCTGGTTGAGGTAGGGTTCTAATGAGGAAGCCACATTTATTGAGGCAATTTCCATAGTGGTGAGATGGCTTTATGAGAAAACACAAATTCATAGTATTAAAAATGAAATTAATTGCCTGTTGACCTGGCAATTCAACTGCTGTGATTATACCCTAAGAATCCTGAAACACAAATCCAAAAGAACCTATGCACCCCAATGTTCATAGCAGCACAATTTACAATAGCCAAATGCTAGAAGCAACCTAAGTGCCCATCAGTAAATGAGTGGATCAAAAAACTGTGGTGCATTTATACAATGGAATACTATGCCGCAGAAAAAAGGAAGGAGTTCCTACCCTTTGTGACAGCATGGATGGAACTGGAGAGCATGATGCTAAGTAAAATAAGCCAGGCAGTGAAAGACAAGTACCGCATGATCTCACCTATAAGTAGAGCCTAAGTAACACAAGAAACAAGCAAGCAAAATATAACCAGAGACATTGAAATTAAGAACAAACTGACAGTAACCAGAGGGGAGGTGGGTGGGGATGGTGTGGGGGGAAGGTGAAAAGTTTTTCAAGGAACATGTATAAAGGATACATGGACAAAGCCTAAGGGGAATAGGGTTGAGGGTGGGAGGTGGGGATGGTTGGTGTGGGGGGAAAATGGAGATAACTGTACTTGAACAATATTTAAAAAAAAAACAATAAATTAAAAAAAGGAGAATGTGCCCTGGCTGGTGTATCTCAGTGGATTGAGCACGGGCCTGTGAAGCAAAGGGTCGCCGGTTCGGTTCCTGGTCAGGGCACATGCCTGGGTTGCAGGCCGGGTCCCCGGTGGAAGACACATGAGAGGCAACCACACATTGATGTTTTTCTCCCACTCTTTCTCCTTCCCTTCCCCTCTCTCTAAAAAGAAATAAATAAAATATTTAAAAAATTAAAAAAAATTAAAAAAGGAAAATAAAAATCAATCCATTAGTAATAATAATAATAAAAAAATTCCTAAACTTAACTGTCTTATGAATGGTGATATTTACACTCAGAGACTAGGTAGGAAGATGTGGAAGGCTCAGGCCAGGCTAACTAACCATTTCTGGAAACCAATTCCAACAGTGTATGTTTTTGATAGTTGATAAGTAATGTCATTATATGAAATATAGTGATTTTTAATATGTAGCAAAATATGTAGTTTATTTTGAATTTTTTTGTAATCTCTGTTGTACTTTTTCCCATTACCATTTAGTCCCCTTATACCTTACTCCCCTAGCAATGCTCACTCTGTTGTTCATGTCCATGAGTCCTTTTTCCTTTATGCTCAGTCTATCTACCCCCTCACTCCCCACCTTGTACTAGCTGTCATCCTGCTCTCCATGTACGAGTCTGTCCCCATTTTCCTTGTTAGTTCAGTTTGCTCATTAGATGCCATTTATGAGTGAAATCATATGGTTCTTTCTCTGAGTGGCTTATTTCTCTTAGCATAATTTTCTCCAGGTCCATCCATACTGTCACAAAGGGTAAAATTTTCTTCTCCTCCTCCTTTTTTATGGCTGAGTAGTATTCCATTGTGCAAATGTCCCATAGTTGTTTTATCCACTCATCTACAGATGGACATTTGGGCTGCTTCCATATCTTGGTGATTGTAAATAATGTAATGAACATAGGGGTGGCTTATGTTCTTTTGAATTAGAATATAGGATATATTCTAATTCTAATATATCCTAATTATATTCAAATTAGGATATATTACCAAATGTGGGACCACTGGGTCAAAAAGCAGACCCATTTTTGATTTTTTGAGGCGTTTCCACACTCGCTTCCATAGCGGGAGGTGGGGATGGCTGGCGTAGTGGGGATGGTGGCTGTGCCAGTCTGCATTCCCAGAAGCTGCAGTTCACAGCATGTGGTCAGAGAAGAGGCTTGATATGATTTCAATCTTCTTAAAGTTACTGAGATCTGTTTTGTGTCCTAGCGTGTGGTCTATCCTAGAAAATGTTCCATGTGCATTTCAAAAGTATGTATATTCTGCTGCTTTGGGGTGACATGCTCTAAAGATATCAAATTCATTTGATGTAGTGTGTGGTTTAAGGCTGCTCTCTCTCACTGATTTTCTGTCTGGGAAATCTATCCTTTGAAGTCAGTGGAGTGTTAAAATCCCCAATTATGACTGTATTTCAGCCAATCTCTTCCTTTATGTCCATCAAGATTTGATTTACATATTAAATGCTCCTATACTGGGTGTATGAGTATTTACTGGGGTTATACCCTCTTGGGGATTATTCCCTTTGTATGTACTGTCCTTCTTTGTTTCTTACTATAGCCTTGGTTTTAAAGTCTGTTTTGTTGGATATAAGTACTGCTACCCTAGCTTTTTTTTCTTTCCATTTGTGTGAAATATCTTTTTTCATCCTTTTACTTTTTTATCCATTCAGCTATCCTTTGTCTTTTGGTTGGAGCATTTAAGCCATTTATATTTAAGGTGATTATTGATAGATATGTATGTAGTGCCATTCTATTGTCAGACTGTTTTCCTCTGTTTTTTTTCCTCCTTTTCTTTTTAAAGCAAGCCCTTTAACATTTGTTGCAGTATTGGTTTCATATTAACAAACTCCTTTAGCTTTTTGTTGTCTGGGAAGATCCTTTTTTTCCTTCAATTTTAAATGCCAGAATTGCTGGGTAAAGTAGTCTTGACTGTAGGTTCTTGCTTTTCGTCACCTTGAATATTTCACACCACTTTGTTCCAGCCTGACACGTTTCTTATGAATAATCAGATGACAGTCTAATTGTGGCCCCCTTGTAGGTAATTATCTGTTTTTCTCTTGCAGCTTTTAGGATTCTTTTCCTTGTCCTTATGCTTTGTCATTTTAATTATGATGGTCTCAGTGTAGGCCTTTTTGGGTAGGCTATCAACTTGTTTGGGACTCTCTGAGCTTCCTGGACTTGTATCTTTTTTCCTTCATCAAGTTAGGGATTTTTCCATCATAATTTCTTAAAATAGGCTCTTGATCCCTTCCTCACTATCTTCTCCTTCTGGTATTCCCATGATGTGGATGTTGTTATGCTTCATGTTATCCAAAATGTTTCTTAAGCTCTCCTCATTTTTCAAAAATTCTTTTTTCTTTTTGCTGCTCTCTCTGGGTGATTTTTCCCACCTTGTCTTCAAAATCACTGATTCAATCCTCTGCTTCATCTAACCTACTGTTTATTCCTTCCAGTGTATTATTTACCTCAGATATCACATTCTTTATTTCTGAATGGT